TTCCAAAAATCCGTAGAACATGTATTCTACGCTTTTCTTCATGCTCTAATTTTAGTCAGAAAATCCATTCTACGATTTACTACATGTTCTGAAAACGTTAGAAAACGTATTATTATTTTAGAATTCATTTTCTAAAATAATATAGATTTCAATTTCTGAAATTTTTAGAATTCCTAAATATAGAAAGTGAATCTTTCAAAAAGAAACTAAATCTACAAATTTGGAAAATCGAATATATAAAAATATTTTTTTGATTAAGTTCTACAAAAATAAAAATACATATTTTGAAAAATTTAGAATTAATTAAAATATTAAAAACGTTTTCTCTTTAATAGAAAGCATCACAAATTATGAAATCCACTTCTTGTAATGACTCTATAGTTGAAGTAACCGTGCTCGGTGGAGATTGTATTTTTTTTTTTTTTTGTTCAAACTGTGGAGATTATACTAATGTTATTGAAATAGGAGACAAATTGAGGCAATATTTTAACTTTAAACATTCTGTAAAGTTGAATATAAAGAAACTATTTACACAGTGGACAAAGGGAGGACGAGCACACGAGCCCATCTTTAACATCCCAAATTGATGCAATAGTTTTTTTTCATGATTTGGACTAAAACGGATTTATAATTGGGGTTTGCATTTTGGAAGTAAAGCCTCTATTCTGTTTAGAGTTTTTGGATTTGGAGATAGAAAATAATATTTTTTTAGTTCTGTAATTTATTTTAATTAAGGGTATAATTGGCTTTTAATTTTTCCAAAAACCTATTTCACCAAACTTATCTAGATAAAGCATATATGGACAAATTTTTTTTAAAAGATCCTTTATATCTAATTTTCCCAAAAAAAAAAAGTCTTCAACGACTTCTTAAAAATTTAAATGAATTGGTCATTGTTTTTTTTTATATTTCCCCTAGGTCTTTGATTATTACTACAAATTACAATGAAAAGTCGCACAAATTAACAACTAGACCTTTTATTTATGCCAACTGTCAAGATTATATATATAAGGTGTATGTATTAGATGCATGACTTGATAATTTTGCTGTCACTCAATTTTGTGTATTTTTATAAAGATTAATGAATAAAAATTGCCCCTATATATAGTATTATATTTTGATAATTAGAATGAGTATCTTCTTTTAAACTTAGTTTTTTTAGTAATCTTCTCCAGAATAAGTGTTAAGACAACTGCCATTTCTTATGATTGCACTCAGAAGTCTTCCTAATTACAAGATTATAAGTTAACTATGTTGTTATTATGTTGTTGATGACCCACGATAAACTACGGTGCAAGTGTAGATAACCATACCCGCATTAATTATCTAAATCAATGTCAATCATACAACTAACTAGCTCATAAAATGATTAAAATGAACGAAGACGATTTTTAAAAAAAAAATTAACCAAATAGCATTACCATTTAGAACGTTTACTTAAAGCTTAAACGATGAAATTAAAGTTTACACTTTAAAAGAAAGTAAAATATATAAACAAAAAATATAAATTTTTAAGACATACTCTTTCCGTTTTTTTATTTGATGTATTTCAAAACATTTGATTTATTGGTTGTTTAATCCGCTTCATAACTGCATAATTCTTTTCTTTTTGTCAACTTCATAATTCATTTTCACCGATCAACGTCGATTTTAAGAAAATTTCAATGATTTAGAAATGCAAACTTTATAGGTGATTATCTTACATTTAGACGATCGTTTAAACCGCTTTCTTGAATCTTGATATGACCTATCAAAATTATTTGTTTTTAGTGCAATCATACATGCTTCCAAAAAGACTTTATTAGCGACAATAAAACGTTTATGATGAACAGTTAATACTGATGGACCCTACTCAATATTTATTTTCTCCACGATTCAATTTGTCTAAGTCAATGCTATGTAGAAAATCATTTTATAATTCTCTTAACCATAGTTAAGACTATAATTATAAATAAGTTAACTCATACATCACGTGCGAAATGGAAGACATGATCTTTTTTTGGCCATTGACATTAATTACTTTATTTAAGAATCCTGCTGGCATTTACATGTCTTTTATTTCCCTCTCATTGGTCTTTCTTTATTGCAACTCACCAAAGTCTTCCCTGAAATGAAAAGTCATTTCTTTTTCATTCAATAATTATCTCCCAACATGCACTATTCAATAAAATTTAATCTGATTAACTCTCTTAAAAACCAGATTAGAAAACTCAAATTATTTTGCTTACATTGCATTTCATTTAGCATCCCAATTTTGTGAGGGTCAAACTTTCTTTGTGATTTGTCATTTCAATTACATATCATTTTATACAATTAAAAATATTTTAGATATACTATTTTAACAATTAATCAAATTGCGAATAACCATTTAAAATTAATTCGCTAAGAAGATCACCATCATATAGATGTTGACAAAAAAAAAGAAGATCACCATCATATCTAAGAAATTTAAAGATACAACATGTCCATTTATAAACATATATAGCTAGCATTAACATTAATAACCACTATAAATTTAAGAATGTAATAATGTACTTGAAATTTTTAAAATGATTTAAACCGTTATTATAATTGTCAGCATCATTGTCAATTTATATTTTATAGTCATAAAAGTACGTAGCAAATTTCAAAGTTTGAGCCATTTTTTTGTTAGCTTGGGAAAAAAAGGAGTAGTGTCAACAGCATTATTTTTACCTCTTTTATCTATAGCTTTACTAAAAGTATTATTTTCATTTTTTGTATTGTTTTTTTACCATTATTTTTACTTTTTTTTTAAATTTATTTATTCCAATATCGTTTAATATTTTTCCTACTTGCTAAATTTTTTTACCGTCTTTGTGTCACCAAACTAGTCCAATATCGTCGTCGTTCACCATTCGAACTTAACCGGCATATTGCACTTTTGTAGATTTTTTTTTAATTATTTAGCTAGTATTTACCATAAAGGTTCTAACTAGCATATTACATACTTTTAACAAAGAAAAAAAGAAGTGAATTGTTTAGCAAGTATTTTTCATGACTACGGTACCGTAAAAGGTTGAAAGTTATTTATTCAGAAAAATATTAAATACTAAGAGAAATGAGTAAAATTTACATCTTCTTGATATAATTTTTGATTGAAAAAAATCTCGTCTAGTCTGTAGTCAATTGGTGGAAAAAATACATTTCAATGTTCCAAATATTTTAAATTAATTTTTAATTAGTTATTTGATTACTTATATATAATTTTAATATAATAATACATATTTTGGTTTTTTCTATAAATGATATATTATACTCCCTTTATCCTAATTTATAAGATGTTTAAGACATTTTCATTTGTTCCATTATATAAGATTTTCTCTACTTACAATGCATGATTTATATTAATTTAATAGTTTTAATTATTTTAATTATGCAGCATCTTCTTCTATTGGTTTAATTTTCATAAATGAGAAAATATTTATTGTTTCTTAATCTAAGTGCTTTTAGTCCAAACATCTAATAAAATAGGACAGAGGGAGTATGTATTTTTGGTAAATTTTATGTTAAACGCTATCACAACCGCTGTTAACCAGTCATAAATCATCCGCAAACATATCTCTTTTTAACTGTTACTAGATTTTAACCCGCGGTACACCGCGGGGCTATATTTTAAAAAAAAAAAAATCAAAATGTAAATTTTTAGTATATTAAGTATATATATGACCTAATGTTTTGAATTTTCTAAATGTATAACTCTTATATCTATATATGATTTAGTATACAATTACTATGTTTGAGGTTTACCGTTTTAAAATATAGGAACGATAACATACAATTCATTAAGTTAAAATCTAGATTATATCCCACGGTACACCGCGGATCGATTTTTTTATAACAAAAAAATTTAAATTTTAAATTATATTTTTTTGTTAATATTGTTTCTTTTGTTTAGTGTTTAAGATGATATAATTGTATTCAGATTGTTATATCTAGGATTTCACCCGTATTATACCATCTCGTATTAATATCGACCTAAATCCGTCCCACCATCTAACCATGTCCCGTGAAATTAAAAGTTTGCTTTCAAATTGTTTCCATAATATATATTTATATACTTATAGAGTTCAAATATTACAAATGTTTTAAACGTTTTATATACAACTAAAAACTAAGAATTATATTGGAATAAATTTTATTTTAATTGTTTATTACTTTTTGCTAAATTTAGTCGAATTGATTTTCAAATGATTATTTTTTCCAAAACCTAAATTAAAAAATTTCAGCATTAAACGTTTTTAAAAAAAAATTGTTAGCAATAAAACCAGATTTGTTAGCATTTAATATATAATGCAACCATTTAATGTAGTTTCTGGTTTTGGATATTAACAAATATTTTGCAGAAATGTAAGGAAAGATCCGTTTCAATATTTCCGGTGCAAAATCTTTAAATTGACCCGACCCAACCAATGGCATTCTTTGTAAATACTTAGCAACTCTAAGATTTATTTGCTAAGTGTACTCCAAAAATGTATATATAGATATCAGTTGTTTTAATTATTGAATAACGATTAAAACTGTAACTAATCGCTTCCGCAAACGCATCTGCATCTGCTGCGTTTAAATAAATTAGACCTTAATATGGAATGTAAAAAAAAATGATTGTCAAAGAAAAAGAACACAAAAAGTTATAAAACTGTGGGTTTTTTTTTTCTAGACCGGTCTCATTCATAATTTGCCTATTTGGCAATTGACTGAAGTTGCAAGGGGAAGACCCAGAGAACAGAGTTGCTTCTTCTCCTCCGGCGAAACAGGTTAGAATCGCTTCTTCTCCTCCGGAGAAATGTTCCATTTTTCCTTTTGTTGATTACTGCTTAATCTCTACATAAAGATCGAACCTTTCGTATAGATTGTCTTTAGGTTGATTACTCTTTTGGAGACGCTTTGATCTGTAGCATTCTCTTTATAAAAAAAAACACAACATCACTGTTTGACCTAGCTCTGCGAATATACAAAGGTGTTTCTGTGCTTGAATCATTGATTTTGTTTTCATCGGTTTGACTTGTGTGTCTAATAGACAGTAGCATCTTGAATTTGCATTTATTAGGTGAATTAATTTCAGTTGTGTCTTTGTGTTATGAATTGTCCATTTTCTTCGGAATTTTTTGTGTTTTGATTACATCATATGGTAATAAACATTTTGGTTGTTTCTTGGGGCAATTTGTTCCAATTGCTTTCAAGATTTTGCAGATTGTGTGGTTAGAAGAAAGGGTTTTGAGGTGTCAAAATGGATTCCGGGACGCAGCCACCAGAGACGGGGAAGCCGGCACCTGATCCGTCGCCTATAATCAAAAAAATCCTCGGTATCGTGATCGATTTGCATGAGCAAGTGAATAAAGAAGCTGTTTTAAGGACGACTAGGAGCGCTGGTGCTGAGCTCAGTCAAGTGACTACTACTAACCATCCAGAGCCTGTTCTGAACAGGATTTTAACTCTTCCTAATATGAGTAAAAAATTAGAAGGCCCGGACGATCATCATATTCCTAAGCTGCAACGTAATCTTCGTTTGCTCAAGGAAGACGTGGTTAAGCTGCAAGATCTTCGCACCGAAGTTGCAGAAGAGGTGTTGAAACATATTCGTCCACTTGAATTGCTGCTTGATAAAGTGGAAAAAGGGGAGAAGGACCCTTCGAAACCCCCCTTGACCTTAGGTATGAAGAAAGACTTGGACGATATCAACAAGAAGATCTTTAACTTGATGTGTCAAGTCCCCTTGTTGCCCAACAAGCGTAAAAATGCCAAAGGATCAGATGCTGACGACGGTGAGGGGGATAATAACGGCAAAGGAATTGTTTGCCTTCCCGGGATCCATGCTAATAAAGAAGATCTTAAAAGACGCGCGGTTTTCAGATATGTACTAGGCGAATTCGAGGAACTCAGTGATCAACAGAAGTTCTGCCTGCTGAGCTTTGCTGTCTTCCCTGAAAATCAAGAGGTGAATAGAACGATGCTGATGTATTGGTGGATGGGGGAGGGCATTCTGAGTTCTAAAGACATACCATCCGAAAAGGGCATTCTCAAACCCGAAGATGTTGTGAAGGACATTCTTGATGATTTCAAGGATAGAAACTTGATTGAACCTGTTGAAATCAAACGCAAAGAGAAGCCAAATAGCTATAAGATGGCCCCTTTTGTGCATTCTTCAGTGGTTCTTATCTCCAAGGAGATAGGGCTATTTGATATGTATGATAAAAAAGAGAAGCCAACCATGAAACAATCAGGACTGCACAAGGTATGCCTTGTGGAAGGGTCGTCAAGCCAGCAAGAAGCAAAAGCTAAAAAAATGGCAGATGTAGATCAGATTGAAACCGTGTTCAATATTTCTGAGAGGTTTCCGGATTTCACATTCAAGTGGTTTTTCGAGGATAAACCAACACGAAATAAGCTGACTCTATCAAAAGCTACGTATCCAAAGCTCAAGGTTTTATATCTGGGAAGATGGGAGAGAACTGCTAAGCGCCACATTGAGGTGGAGAATCCAGAGCTTATGAAAAACTTGAAGCATATGATTAAACTCAAGCTTCTGAGTTTTCAAGGGATCTCAAGAATTGAAAGACTTGACAATGCTGTCTGTAAGCTTCGTGAGCTGATCATCTTGGACCTCAGAGCTTGCTATAATCTTGAGAAACTTCCAGACAAGATAGATTCACTCAAGGCGCTTATCTACTTGGACATTACAGATTGCTACATGATAGATCGCATGCCCAAGAGGTTGTCGTGGCTGGATAACTTGGAGGTTCTCAAGGGCTTTGTGGTCAGTGATGCTATTGATGATGAGACTGTCTGCACACTGGCTGAGTTGGTGGAATTGAAGAAGCTGAGAAAGCTAAGTATTTCAATAAACCAAGAAGATTTCAGCATAGTTGATGTGTTCGTGGCTGTAAAGAATTTCAAAAAACTCGAAAAGTTGAAAGTGGCGTGGGGAGGTATAAATAAACATCCTCAGGACAAAGGCGTAGATGGAGAAAAGGGGGACCGAAAGGTTAAGCCAAAGGAGGAGGAAAACGACAATGCAATTGCTGCTGCAGAGAAAAAGAAACCGACCCTTTTGGAAAGAACGGCGACCTATTTGCATAGGGAGAAAAGTCGCACAGAGCCAGAGCTTCCCATGACATTGAAGAAACTGGACCTGCAGTGTTTTCCTGGTGAACTTCTTCCTGAATGGCTTGAGCCTAATAATCTACGTAATGTGGAAAAACTCTACATTAAAGGAGGAACCGAACTTACTGGATTTGGAAAGCCACTACCTATCGAGGAAACGCACTGCAAAGTTACCGTTTTACGACTGAAGTTTCTTCCAAAACTAAAAGTGGAGTGGAGGGATCTGAGCAAAAGGTACTTTCCAAAACTGAAGTTCTTGGAGAAGTATCAGTGCCCTCAAGTTAGTCTCTGCCCCTGCGATGGAATTGGAATCTGGCGCAAGCCTGAAGAAAATGAAGTCTAAAGCAACTCAGAACTGAGAGTTTTTCGGGTTTATCAAGTTTTCTTCTTCGTTGTCTTTCCTTTTTGTTGTTGTTGTTTTTGTTGTTGTTGTTGTTGTGTGTTTGCTTCCTCATTTTCCATTGATGTCTTTCTGGTCTTGCGTGCAAGTGTTGTTGTTTGTGAACAGTTGAATAAAAGAAATTGGGTTGTTTGCTTTGCTTATTTTGTGATACTTGTGTTCTAAAGAAGCTACGAAGGAAGAAAACAATGTATTATAATTTAGTGAGAAGGTCTACAAGTGAAGAGAGGCTCAGAGCAAGAAACTCTGATAAACTGCAAATGCAATGGTACAAAGGAAAGAAGCTCTCTTAAAAGTCTCTTTTGATAAGCCTCAACACTTTGGTCAAGAAACATTGTTGGCATTCAAGAAACTCTACTCAGAGATTCTGGTTTATTGATACAACAGAGTGACAAACAGAAAACATCAAACAAGAAACACATACAAGAAATCAAGAAAACATAAGCAAGGTTGATGATAAGCAATCTTGAGCCAAGAGGCTGAGTCAGGTTTATCCACTTCTCAGGAGCTGGTCTGGTTTGCAGTTTGGCTGTTCGATGCGTCAGGTTGTCCATGGATAGAACCGCCAGTGGGAATTTCATCGTCAACAAACACGGGCTCAAGCTCGGCCAACAGTCTAGCAGCCAAAGGAAGACCACGAGACTTGTTCATTAGCTCATCTATGCATTTCTTGTCGTTCCTTGGTGACTCTTTCTCTCTCTTTTGAACCACAGCATCATATATCTTCCAGACACTCTGATGATCAGAGAGGGGCCAAAGACGATGGATCTCATGTTTCTGAGAAACTAGCTTCTTCGCCAGATTCTCATCTCTGGTCGTGTATATGACTCTCCCACCGGACCCTTTAGGGAATCCATCTGAAAGAAACTTTCCCCATTTCTCATCCTCGTTGAGTTTCACATCGAGCTTCTCGTCCCAGTTATCAATTTCCCGGACATCATCAAACACAATCAGATATTTCTTCCACCTCAGATTCAAGTGAAGTGCATAGAGCAGAGCAGAGAGCTCCTTCTCTTTCTCCGTCTCTCTATCAATATCTCCCGCTTCCTGATTGCTTGCAACTTCCGCATTGTCCTTAAATTCTTGTTTGGCATCAGTAGAGATAGTTTCGATCAAATCTTTAACTCCAAGACCTGTCAAGATCTCCTTCAACACACATATCTTTCCATCAAGCCTGTCCGTAGATTCCTTGTTTTCCATAGAAACCCAAACCCTGGGAGCATAAACACTCTTCACAGCTTCATCATTGAAGATCTTCTGGCATAATGCTGTCTTCCCAACACCATACTCTCCGACAATCACAAGACTCTTGAACTCCCTGATAACCTTCTGATCCAACAAGAAGTGTTGTAATGACTTGATCTCATTATCGAAACCGTGGATGTCATGGTCCGGAAGTTTACAGTCGGTTTTCAGACGCTCCTCTTCTTCATTCTCATCTCTCTTCTTCTCCAAGGTTCCTACGGCAAGACCATTTATTTTGAGCCAGTCCTCACAATTCTTATTGAAGGTGGTTGTGAATTCGTTTGTGAGGACTGCCTGTTGTGGAGTTTTTGAAGGCATATTCAAGAAAAAAGGAGAAATCTGCTGGAAGAAGATGAAGAAGGAAAGAAAAAAGGTTAGGCAAAGTAGAGAGAGAGAGAGGGGTATGAGAATTAAGTAACACTTTTTTAACTACAATTAATTTGATTTAGTAGATTAGACATAGAAAATTAGTTTCTTGAATGTAACAAATTTGATAAACAAAAAGACATTAGAACTATACTCCCTCTGTTTCACAAAGAGTGTCATTCTAACATTTTTCACACAAATTAAGAAAAGTAAACAAATTTCATTTCTACCCCTTATTAATACACTAAATAATACCCTCTCTCTAATTAATAAGGTAAAATAGTGAGGTTAAAAAAGAGAATTAGTCATTAAAACTGCATTGAAAACACATAACGACACTTTTTGTGAAACGAGATTAAAACCTTAAAACGACACTTTTGTGAAACGGAGGGAGTATTAAGTTTATAGATGAGTTAAATCATTTGGCCGATTAATAAGAGAAAAACGTAAATTATGTTATGTTAATAGTCTTTTCGAAAAAAGCTGATAAAATAAAAAGAATAAAACCAATTGCCGGCAAAAAATAAAATCAAGTATTGTTTTAAAAAAAAAAAATTAGAAAACCGAATTATGTATGTATGCACAAGCTTTGAAGAACAAATGAGCTTTTATCATTTAAGAGGAAAAAAAAATCAAGTATCTAAAAACAAATTGACGTATTTTATTTATTTTTAACAACGACGTGTTTAATTATTGCAAGAAGTGCCAAGAAGGCAAAAGCTACCTTTCAACAATGCATAATCACAAATTGTTTGCATAAAAAAAATAGCGACAAAATACACCGTTCCCACGTTGATATATACATAAATGTATTGTTAGGAAAATAAAATTAAAAGACCTTGATCTCTGAAGTCATCGTTATATTGACATACAAAAGTCGTCGATACTATATTTTAAAAGCTTCAATTATTGAATGCCCGACTCTACCATGGTTAATGATACATGATACATCCAGCGCAAGTGCAACATATTTTTTTAGTTAATATCCAGCTGTAATTATTATATTCAATAGGTAATATTATAATATAAAATTTAATATCCAAACTAGCTTTTTGTAAATTTTGTCATCACATGAGACAAAAGACGTGAGAAAATATATATTTTGGTAAAGATAAAATTAAAATATATTTGGATTAGTGAGGAAATTTTAATTTATTTTGGAATTTAAATTATCTAGTATATCTGGAGAAAATGAGTGACCCATACCCAATTAGCCATAGCCCCATAGGTTCTATCCCTTGTTCTAAAAATCGGCCGCTTAGGCGCTGATCGGAGGAGCACCGCGGCGATTTTGTCCAAATCGGTGAGAAAAATTGGAGATCCGATTTTTTGTCCGCCTGGACCGCCTAGGCGGCCGCCTAGCCCGCCTAGACGGCGCCTAGCCCAATTTTTTTTTTTTTTTTTTTTTTTTTTTTTCATCTAAAATTCAAAACATCCTACTTATGTTCGTAATTTGTATAAAAATCATAAATTTGAAATTAAAATCTTGTTTTCATGTGTTTAATATAATTTTAAAAACAATATTATATAAATTACTTAATTATAATTGATTAATATGTTTTTAAAATATTAAATAACCCTAAAACTAATCCCCGATTAATCTCCGTGTAATCCCTGATTTTCTTGCTAGGCCCTAGGCGCACCCTCACCGCCCGACTAGCGCCTAGCGATTTTTTGAACACGGGTTCTATCCATTCGAATTTAACGTTACTGGCTACGTCATGTGACAATAATTGCTACCAAGTAGGTTCCACGAGAAAACGTGATTTTCATTACAAAATGACGAAGCGAAAAGTATTGTCAACAAATAATTCGATATTTAATTCCATTTTTGGTTGCCGGGAAAAATTCCGATTAATTGTCAAGTGCTGTCTTTTTACTTAAATACAAAATCATGTTGTAAACATAAACAGAAAAAAAAAAAAAAAAAGAGTATAAAGGAAAAAAGTATAAATATTATTACTATAAAGGTTTGAAGATAATATATATAATTAGAATTTTTTTTAAAGGAAATCTTAATTTAATTAAACTGGTTTCTTGGAGAAGTAACAAGTATTCTCACATGTGCAAAACTTTTCAGTTGTCACTCATTCCAATATCCAAGGGCATTTGAGATAACCTCGTAATGGTATATCTAATTAAACATATCTCACTCCTTTCATATCATTCTTTAACCATGTGATATAACCATGTGATTTTAAGGAGATGAAAGGAAAAAGACAAGAGAAATTATTAGATAAAATATTTAGGTTAATTCCATTAAACCCTCAACAATTAGTTTAAATAAATAATATAGCAAAGAAGATATAATTTTCTACAAAAAAAAAAAATAATCTATGATAGATTGATAGATAGTATAACTATAACTTTAACAAACTCACCAAAAAAACAACTATAACTTTTAACAAAACAAATATAATTCGTCTCATTTCGGGGTCAGAGAACCAGTGGGCGCTTTGAATAATTCACTTCTTAAAAACGAGGTAAAAAGTAAAAATTAACAGCACACAAGAATCAGATAAAGTTTCAAAAAATCATACAACAATAAAACCTTAAAAAAAAAGACTTGAGACCTGTAAGAACATGTTTGACTGACCTCAAGGTCTCCAAGAAGCCTCCAATGGCTGTCCAACCAGAATAATTCCAACCTTCACACACAAAAAAAAATAAAAAAGCCTCAAAAGCAAAAAAAGAAAGAAGTCAAACTCTTTAGATGTATCTGTGTTGGATCTCATAAGCCTCCATCAGTTCTTGTCTGTTCCAACAAATCAATTTGAAGATGGTGACCGCAATCCCAAAGCCTATCAAGGACATTTGGGACGAATGGAGCATTCGAAGTACCTTAATCTTCAGTCTCAGCCTTCAAACATTTCTCATTTTCTTTGCACCTCAAAGAAAACGCTCATCCAGAAAAGTTCTACTCTCTCTCATTTGGTCAGCTTACCTTCTTGCTGATTGGTCGGCCAATTTCGCCGCCGGACAAATCTCAGATAGTCAAGGAGACGATCCAGAACCCGGAGACCCGAAAAAGAGCGCCGAATTGTTTGCTTTCTGGGTTCCTTTCTTGCTCTTGCATCTCGGTGGTCCAGATACAATCACTGCCCTTGCCCTTGAAGATAACGAGCTATGGCTCAGGCACTTGTTGGGTCTTTTCTTTCAATCCGTTGCAACCGTTTACGTGCTTTTGCAATCGCTACCCAATGCTCTTTGGAAAGCCACTTTGCTGGTGTTTGCGACCGGAGTGATCAAGTATGTCGAGAGGACATTAGCTTTGTACCTGGCGAGTCTTGACAAGTTCAAGGATTCCATGATTCAGCGGCCTGATCCTGGACCAAACTATGCGAAGCTCATGGAAGAATACGCAGCCAAGAAAGATATGAAGATGCCTACACAGATTATCAAGATTGGAGAGCCTGAGAAAGATCCAAAAGCCAGTGCTCAGGTTAGGCCTAAGGACCTGACTCCACTCAATATTCTCCAGTACGCCTATAAGTACTTCAATATCTTCAAAGGTCTTGTGGTTGACCTCATCTTTACATTTCAACAACGAGCTGAGAGCAAGAGATTCTTTGACTCGCTGAGAGCAGATGAAGCTCTAAGAATCTTAGAGGTTGAGCTCAACTTTATCTACGCAGCTCTATACACGAAAGCCGAGATCTTGCATAACTGGATAGGATTCATCTTCAGGTTCATTGCCCTGGGATGTCTTACAGCAGCTCTACGCATCTTTCAATACAAGAGCAAGGCAGATTATAGTGGATTTGATGTTGGCCTTACTTACGCATTGCTGTTAGGAGGAATAGCTCTGGATTCCATCGCCCTTATCATGTTCTGTGCATCTGATTGGACGTTTGTCAGATTGAGGAAGATGAAGGACGAGGTGGACGATCCAGAAACCTGGTCCGACGACATTCTTAACTGGATTCTTAACAACATTCTCGGGGTCAGGGAGTTGAAGACGGAGAAATATGATGAATGCTACAAGAAGGCTCTGTCTCATAAAGTGCCAGGCACGAGTACCAAGAAAACACCGTTTCTTAAGTGGATTCTCTGGGTCAGGAAGTTGAAGACAGAGAAGTCTCATGAAGTTGATGAAGTGCCCAACAAGAGTACCAGCAAAACACCAGGTCATGAAGTGCCCGACGAGAGTGCCAAGACAATACCATGTCATAAAGTGCTCGACACGAGTTTCATGTATCGCAGGTGGTCTGAGTATGTACATGCACACAACCTGATCGAATACTGCTTATGTTTAAAACCGAAGCGAATCCACCATACCAAGGGTTTGATACACATCGCCTTTGACAAGCTTATCAACATCCTTTACATTGGCCCCGCATTCACAAAATTTGTAAGTGTTATTGAATCCTGTTTTAGAGCCACAAAACAGACAATTCATCAGACTTTCAAGTGGATTGACGGTAAAATAAGTCGCTTGTGCAAGAAATACCCGAAGTGGAATGAAGAGTACATTAGGTTTAGCTTCATCTGCATATTTTTCTTTCCTAGTCTACCTGGACGCGGGATAAAAAGATTTATGGAGTTCTTTGGCATCCGAGCTCAGCTAGATGAGGTGATCTACACATCCAGTGATCGTCTCACCCTGGATATGTGGGAACACATATTCGAACAGGTTAAAGCCAAATCCCGTTTTGCTGACGACTCTGAAAGCGCCATGAGGGTATCTTCAGCTAGAGGTGACTGGACTCTGCGCGACATACAAGGTGACCCAGAAACAGAAAAAAAACGTGATAAACTTCTACGCTATGTGATGGAAATGGATTATGATCAGAGCCTTCTTGTATGGCATATTGCCACTGAGCTCTTATACCAGACAGAAGACGGCACTGAAGCGAATCATAGCAACCGTGAGTACAGTAAAATTCTCTCAGACTACATGATGTACCTCCTAATGATGCAACCCACTCTGATGTCAGCTGTTGTGGGTATTGGAAAGATAAGATTCAGAGACACATGCGAGGAGGCTCAGAGGTTCTTCGATAGGAGGCATATCATGGGGATATCCGCAAAGAAGGCCCCTGATGCAAAGGAAGCCAGCGACGCAATTTTATCTGTGGCGGTTCCAGCAAAAGCTGAGCCCATTGACGTGAAAGGAGATAGAAGCAAATCCGTCCTGTTTGATGGGGCCATGCTGGCGAAAGAGCTTAAGGGTTTAAGCAAGAACAAGGAGAACAACACAGAGATGTGGGAAATAGTGAGCAAAGTGTGGGTTGAGTTGCTTTCTTATGCAGCGACAAAGTGTGGCGCTATAGAACACGCAGCTCAGCTAAGCAAAGGAGGAGAACTCATAAGCTTTGTTTGGCTATTGATGGCTCATTTTGGACTAGGAGACCAATTCCAAATCAACCAAGGAGATGCCAGAGCCAAACTGATTATAGGCAAGTGATCATCATCGAATAAGCAACGAAAGTAGCGCAACATTAGTTTCCCTCATTTGCTTCCACTGTGTTTTTTGTTTCAAAGAGTTATGTCTTGAACTGTTTGCAGCTATCATACCATTGCCAGTAAAACTATCTGTTCTTGAATCATCTGCATTGTTGTAACTTATGTCCTTCTTCTGTCACTGATACATTCATTTATGTGAGCTTGATTGATTCCACTGATACTCTATACAACCAACAAAAGACAAGGATCTGTAAACAAGGACCTTCAAATTCCAATTAGAAGCACTAGAACAAGAATATAAGCTCTTTGAATCCACCATTTATGAAGCAGCAATCGTGAACATCATCCGACCAGAGAAAAACTTCAGAATCTCAGAAGTGATGCAACCGAGACTTTCGATTTAGTCCTGAACTCTCAATAAAATTGTTTCCAACGGTAAAAAAAATTTCCATCTGTACAAAACACAAATACAGTAAATAATTCTTAAGTATATTTAAAATAAAATAACTTCAATTTTGGACTAATAATTACTGAGATGTGAACTCTTCACGAAAACATTAATTTAACGAAATTATTAGTTGGATCTAATTTAATGTATCGGTTGAAGGGTTTCAAAACTCAATTTTATTTTCAGATTCTCATTAAATGAACCTCAAATTCAAATTATTTATTTAGTAGACAAGAAAAGAGTATGTATATGTAAATAAATTCTGCCAGCTATAGAAGTATTGTTGAATCTTCATTATTTCTTTTGGTCAATGCCTCAATCAGTAGTCACTAAATAATGAATGACTCAACTTAAGAAAAGACTAACCCGGGACAGTCTTTAAAATAACATAAGTTATAACTATGGTTAAACCTAATAATATTATTATAACCATCTCAAATATCATAGTCTAAGTCTAACCATTCAAATCTGACTTTAGTGGATTATTGTATATTTTTACTAAAACGACGCGAGCTCAACTAATGACACTTGAACTTTAATACTACTAACTATTCAACATATTTATTAGTATCAAAATATGAATTAAAAAAAGACCAATAGCTAAGTCGTCTCTTGACGTCCAAAAAAAAAACTAAAAAATCTTAGTCGTCTCTGAACCCCCGCCAAAAACTAAAATGACTAATTTTGATTAAAAAAAGAAATTAAAGAATATTTTTACGGTGTGCATACCAACAGTAACTTTTTTAATAAACAAATTGCAAGAATAATTGACGAAAATGCAAATTACAAAAATTATTATTTTGCAAAATAAATAAATAAAAATTACCTGAGTTGCTGAGTCGTCTTTCTTCTTCTTCCCCCAGTGAGCTTCTGGTAAAAAAAAAAGAACAACATCAATGGCTTCCCAAAAACATTCCTCAAACCCCAAAATTTTCAAGTAAATCTGAGAAAAAAACATCTCAATAACCAGAAAAGAGAGAGAGAGAGAACCACATCAAGAGAGAGAAAAGAAAGAACCACAAATTTCTCAAGTGAATCCAAGAGAGAGAAAGAGAGAGAAGGAAGAAGCTCTATCTTTTTTCCTCAGAGAGAGCAAAAATGGTGGACGTGATACCAAAACACATTAAAGATGTTTGGGATCGATGGAACATAAGAGGAGCAGTCATTCTAAGTCTTACCCTTCAAGCCATTCTCATTTGCTTCTCTCCTCTAAGGAAACGCACACCAAGAAGGCTCTTGATCGTGCTCGTTTGGTCCTCTTATCTCTTAGCAGATTGGTCTGCTAATTTTGCTGTTGGTCTCATCTCCAAGAACCAAGGTAAAGATCTCAAACCTGATGACCCTCCACAGGACAAAAAGCTCATGGCTTTGTGGGCACCATTCTTGCTCTTGCATCTTGGTGGACCAGATACAATCACAGCTTTCGCGCTTGAAGATAACGCTCTCTGGCTCCGACATGTCTTTGGGCTTGTCTTTCAGGCAATCGCTGGTGTCTATGTGGTTCTCATGTCTCTTCCCAATAGCCTTTGGGTGATTATACTCTTAGTGTTCGTTTCTGGGACTATAAAGTATCTGGAGAGGACAACGGCTTTGTATAGTGCCAGTTTGGACAAGTTTAGGGACTCTATGATTCAAGCACCAGATCCAGGACCAAACTACGCCAAGCTCATGGAGGAGTACAAGGCCAAGAAAGAGGCAAGACTACCCACCAAGATCATTCTGATTGATGAACCTGACAAAGAAAATAGGCCTAAGAAGTTAGAGCATCCATCACTGGCCTCGGACACAAAAAGAAAAGATTTGACTCATCTTGAGATTGCTCAGTATGCTTACAAATTCTTCAACACATTCAAGGGCCTTGTGGTCAACCTTATCTTCAGCTTCAGGGAGCGCGACGAGAGCCTAGAGATCTTTGAGAATTTGAATGATTCAGAGGAAGCTTTGAGGATCATTGAGATTGAGCTTGGTTTCCTTTATGATGCTCTATTCACCAAGATCGCGGTTCTTCATACCTTTATTGGAACTGTCTCACGCATCCTTGCTTCTGGCACCCTGGTGGCTGCATTCATCCTCTTTCATAAGAAACCCAAGAAAGACATACAATTTCATGGTGCTGATGTTGTGGTTACCTACACGCTGTTTGCAGTTGGCGTAGCTTTGGATTTCATATCCATCCTCTTGTTTCTGTTCTCCGACTGGACGTGTGCTGCACTACGTAGCTTAAAGGACAACCCCGACAAGGCTCTATCGTCCTCGATAGATAAGGTTTTCAACTGGTTACTTAGTATAAGACAGCTGCGTTGGAAGACGCAAGAATGCCACGAGAAAGGTACGCATAAGTGTACCGCCTGTCTTAAAAAAGATTATAAAAAGTGTTCAACGGTGCAGAAGCATGAGGTGCTCTCGACGCCATTCTTCTTCCGGAGGTGGTGTGGAAGCATCAATGTATTCAACTTTTTAGCGTATGCCACAAAAGCAGAAGTAAATCGGATCCACGATGCCAGAGGTAGTTTCCGCCGCTACTCATGGAACATCATAGCTTTCCCATTCGAAAAACTCAACTTCATCATCCAAACACTTAGACGATGGATTGTCAATTTCATCAATTATGTGCACAAGTGGATCAGCCACAAAGTCAATGCATTATCAAGAAAATCTTCTTTTGCTCGTCGTTGGATTTACCCTATCTACTTCGAGTTCCTATCCCGCATCCCTCATTTCATCAAATCTGTGTGGGATATCCTCAGCGAGTTCTTCGACATCTCGGATACGCTTGATAAGGTCCACAAGACGCTATTTGTACACGGAGAGCCCATGACGAAAGAATTGTGGACGTTCATCTTCAATGAGCTGAGAAACAAATCAAAGTTTGGAGACAGTCCTGAAAATGCCAAAATGATATCTTTGGCTCGGGGACAATGGAGTTTGCGGGCCAACCTGCCAGAAGATGCAGACCGTGAAAAACTGGTGCGTTATGTCACAAACTTCGATTATGATCAGAGTCTTTTGATGTGGCACATCGCAACGGAGCTCTGTTACCAACAAAAAGAGAAAGACACTATCCCAGAAGGTCCTGATGAATATAAGTATCACAGTAACCGCGAGTTCAGCAAAATCATCTCAGATTACATGATGTATCTCCTGATCTTGCAACCCGGTCTGATGTCCGAGGTTGCTGGAATTGGGAAGATCAGATTCAGAGACACATTGGCTGAAGCTGACAAGTTTTTCCAGAGGAGGCATATCGAGGACAAGAGAAGCGTGAAGATAGCCACCATAAATATTCTAGACGTCGAAACTGGATTTGAACCAATGGACGTGAAGGGAGATCGAAGCAAGTCTGTGTTGTTTGACGCGAGCAAGCTAGCCAAAGACCTTGCGGAGATGGAGAAGACGCACAAGAAAGACAAATGGGAGATACTGAGTAAAGTGTGGGTGGAACTTCTCTGTCATGCAGCTTGTCATTGCGACGCTACGGCTCACGTAGAGCAACTCAGCAGAGGAGGTGAGCTCATAAACTTCGTGTGGCTTCTAATGGCTCACTTTGGACTAACAGATCAGTTCCAGATCAACAAAGGAGATGCCAGAGCCAAACTCATTATAGGAAAGTGAGAGTGAGCAAGAAACAACATTTCCCAGTATCTAAAATTCATTCTGCATTTGTATTCCTGTCTACTTTCTCCTCAAAACAATGAACTTTTTTCTGCATAATGACATTTGTATGCTTTTTGTGATGAAAAATGATCCGAAATATCCTTTCATATTCCAACAAGAGTTATGAGATTGCTTTAAGATCATTCTAGCTGAGTCCAGATTACACATTTCAAACCTGCGAAAGATGAGTGAAGTATCTATCTCACTGTACCTCAACCAATGGAGATTCTGACCAAAACTCAAGAATCTATGAGAGAAGAAGAAAGCTTTCACCGCCATTGAAACCAACAACACACAGACATAGCCTAGAGATGTTGCAATATGCAGAGTCGAATCAATCTAATTGATCTTCGATACGACTGAAGAATGAAGAAGAACCACACAATCAATTCCACTGAAATCAAAACCCCAAACGCAAATTGAAATCTCACAAACAAAACTCATTGATACTTTGAAAAGCTTTTTTAGTTTTCGTCTCTGATTCTTCCATGGCTGGATCTATCCTTCTCCCTAGTCTCTTCCATTCAATTTCAGGCTTACATTTTTTTTTTGGGGGTTACGCTTTTTTTTTTTTTTACCCTTCAATTGCGAAAAGAAAATGAAAAGGTAAACTGATGCGTTACGCTAAGGATTTAAATCACCAGGTCTAGAATTCATGCGTTAAACCAACGAAAATGGTAAACTGATGATTTAAATGACATTTTTCCTGTTTCGATTTTGTTTCCTTCAATGGGTTTTATTCTCTCATATGTATATTTATCAATTTTTACAAGTGTTTTTTGTTTGACAAAATAAAAAAAAATTGTAATTTGATAAATTGTCTGTTGTTGCCGTGAAGCCGAGAAGGGTGGTGGCGACGAAAATAGGTGGAATAAACTGTAGTGAGCATGGCATTGCGATGCCGATGGCTCACCCCAGCCTTGATGGAATAAAATGTAGTGAGCTTGCCGATCATCCGCAAAACTCGATGCAATCAATTAGTGAAATTGACAAGTTGACAACAAGCTAAGGTTGTTGTTCATTGATAAAGCTGCCAATGTACGTTAAATGTAAGTAATCTCTAGCACAATGTCATAAAAATATACGAGTAATCTATGAACAACATCTAACACAATGGCCTTGGCTTGAGTTGCACATTTCAGTTTAATTTCCACTTTGTTCACAAATCACAACCATATGATGTGTATTCTCCATCCTTCAGTGCCTGCCCAAGAAAAAAAAAACAATAACATGTCACCAATGTTTTTGCAAATTTATAAACATGAAGATAAATGTTTTAGTGTTGATCAGTTGAGATATGTCATCTATCAACACAACACCAAGACCAGTACCAATCTATCAACCAGTATCAACATCAAGACACCACTAGATGTTCGAATCATATTATGGTACAATCATCAGCCTAAAAAAGAGGCATGTTATATAGCGAGATCAATCCTGTTAAGTGTTAAGGATGATGATCACTATTCCCTAACATGTTTTTTTTCTTCTTTTAATTACCAGATCTTCGATCTGAACATGTAATATAAAAACAAACATATCAAATACATTTAGAATTCATCTTGGCTATTTCGATGTACCACAAAATACATTAAAAAACAAAAAATATAATTAAACTGTTTCTTAGTGATTTTTTTCTCACACTTTTCTATCTTCTTTTCTTCTCTTGCTTCTTTTTCTTTGCTGAGAAAAAAGAAAAAGCAAAACTTGTTGATTTCACCTGCAAATCTTTTTTTTGTTCCAGCTTTTGCTTGGAAATGACTCAAGAAGATTCATCGCGCAGATTAACAAGTGTAGGCAGAAACGACTTCACACATCGGTTCGCTGATAGATACAAGGAATGGTTAAGGACAACTGGTGATGAAACAAAACAGGAGGAGGATCGTGTGGAAACTAATTCTGAACTTCCGGCTTATGACATCTATGGTTTCGAGAATGAGATCAAATCACTGCAACACTTCTTGTTGGATCAAAAGGATTACAAGGAGTTCAAGAGTCTTGTGATTGTCGGAGAACACGGTGTTGGGAAGACAGCATTATGCCAGAAGATCTTCAATGATGATGATGTGAAGAGTGTTTATGCCCCGAGGATTTGGGTTTCTATGCCTAGCAATGAATCTAAGGAAGGACTTGATGGGAAAATATGTGTGTTGAAGAAGATCTTGAAGGCTCTCGGAGTTGAAGATTTTATGTTCGAATCCATCCGTAGAGAAGTAGTAGAAGAAGTTTCAAATAGGCGGGAAGCTGGAGAAATTGATGGAGAGACAGCGAAAGAGAAGGAGCTCTCTGCTCTGTTCTATGCACTTCACTTGAATCTGAGGTGGAAAAAGTACATGATTGTGTTTGATGATGTGCGAGAAGAGGATAATTGGAACGAGGTGCTTCAGGACGGTGAGGAGAAGCAATGGGGAAAGTATCTTTCAGATGGATTCCCTAAAGGGTCTGGTGGGAGAGTCATATACACGACCAGAGATGAGAATCTAGCGAAGAAATTAGTTGCAGAGGAACATGAGATTCATCGTCTTTGGCCCCTGTCTGATACTGAGAGTGTCTGGAAGATATATGAAGCAATGATCCTTAAGAGAGAGAAAGAGCCTCCACGGAAAGATAAGAAATGCATAGATGAGCTGATGAACAAGTCTCGTGGTCTTCCTCTGGCTGCTAGACTCTTGGCCGAGCTTGATCCCGTGTTGCTTGACAATGAAAAAGCTGACCAGAACGGTTCTAGCGATGGACAAACTGACTCAGTCAACAACCCCACTTCAGAAGAGAGTAAAACTACTCAACCTCTGTAAACTTGAGAAGAATAAAGAGCTTTTTTTATTGTGTCATCAAGCTTGTTGTTACTTGTTTTGTACTGGTTTGATCTTGTCTGTTTGTCTTTCTGTTGTATCAATCAATAATCCAGAATCTCTAAGTAGAGTTTCTTCAGTATAACACAATGTTTCTTCAGTTCAGTGTCTGAAAAATAAGATGTACCTTCTCTTAAATCTGCAGTTTTATCAGAGGTCATTTACTCGTACCATCTCGGAGTCTCTGCACTTGTAGATGTAGACATTGTAGACCTTCTCAGTTGATCATAATACATTTCTTACTCCTTCATAGCTTCTTTATCTTAAAGCATCACAGAGTAAGCAAACCAAACACTCCAAACAAACAACAACACGAGGAAGCCAAACCAGAAAGGCATCAATGGAAAATGAGGAAGATTTCACCGCACTTGGAAACAAAACCAATGTTTTGATTCCAGAACAAAAGAAAATTGATGCAAAGTCGAGAGCTTTTATTGCGCACTTAAAAAAATAAATACTCCATACATATTCGTAATGAAGACGGGAAGTTCTATCGAACAAACAAGAGAACTTTAGAAGAAGAAACACAAAAGAGGGAAAATAAACATAAGTTGTCTTCAAATAACTTGGACTCTCGGGTAGGTGATGATGATAATCAAAAGCACAACGACGATGGTGATGATGTTGATGATGGCTTGTAACTTGGATGCGTCATAACAAAGAGTCTTTCAGCTTAACCGGCGATTTTCCGAGAGTAGGGATTTGAAGGCTGTGTAGGTCTGAGGAACATATCACCACTTTCTCCCACCCACCCTGCCTTCATCGCCGGTTGTTGTTGCCTTTGACTTTGTGTCCATCTTCCTCCGATTGTTGCATTTGCCAGTTTATTTGCAGTCTCTGATGCTCCACGAGGAAAGACCCAGTTCTTTTCCATAGATGCTGCAAGTGCAAAGTTTGAATTCATTCATTCAGATGATAAAAAAAAAACTTTGTGAAAGCAAAAGATGTGAATTTTACTTACGAGGACTCTTCCTTCCAGGTGGTCTATACTTAGCATCTTTAACGTTATAACTTCTCACAGGTTTGTTGTTCAACGCCGTGTTCTGGTTATTATTATTAGCCATATCCACCTTCCGCTGGGTCGCACCATTGTCAAAAGGAGCATGCATCTTTGGAGTAACATAACTGTTGACACCATTGCCAAAAGGAGTATTCTTTGGAGCAACATAACTGTTGACACCATTGCTAAAAGGAGCATTCGTCTTTGGAGTAACATAACTGTTGACACCATTGCTAAAAGGATCATTCGTTTTCGGAGTAACGTAAGAGTTCAACGGCTTATTAGCATTATAAGTCAGAGCCGCTGGTAACCGCTTCACGGATTGCTGCTGCTCGAGAGACTGTCTTGGTCCAATAGACAGCTTGGGTCGGAGAGACGGGGGAACATAGTAGCAACTCTGGAAGAACGGATGCTGCAGAGCCTCTGCAGTAGTCGGTCTATTGCAGGGATCCCACGAGCATAGGCGCTCGATAAGGTTAACCGCATCTGCACTAGCATATGGCATCACACTTGATAGGTGTACACCGGGAAGCTGCATGATGACAAACAGATCGTTACTCGTAACCTTAAATATAAAATCAGTGACGCTTTCTTTCCTAGATATGTTATAGATAAGAGTAAAAAATACCTGAGGGAATTGGTAATTGATAACGCTGGCAAGGTTCAGCCCCTCCAACCATGTCTCTTCAGTTGGGCTGCCTATGACACTGCAGATTTTGTATATCTCATCTGCTTCACTGCACATATTAAGAAGGTGACATTGCACTTATGGTTTAGCATCTAAATCTGCAACATTGTCTAATTAGAACAAATTCAATCAACCATTGACAAATACCTAGCTCCAGGAAAGAGAGGGCGGAGAGACAACAGCTCCGCCATAATAGCACCCATCGCCCACATATCTGAAATAATTAAAATTAACCATTGTTAAGCACCACACTACAGTATATTAAAAAGACACTTCTGTTATTGATATATTGGGAAGACTAACCAACTTTTGACGTGTATACATATGATTGTAGCAGTACTTCAGGTGCCCTGTACCTGTGGAAAGTTCAAAACAGAATTAGGGTGAATAAGGAAAAGATATGGCACAAATTAATACATGTGCCAATCACCACCAGTATATGGATCACTGAACTACATATATTGATTTTCTAAAGTAATTTCAACAGAGCAATCGGGGAAGCAAATCTTACCAGCGTGTAGAGACATATTCTGTATAAGGTGGACTGGAATCGATCTCCCGGGCCAGGCCAAGATCAGCAATCTTAATGACATCTTTTGAGACCAATAGATTTTCTGCATGAGAAAAAACAAAAATTACACATGTTTCATTGGCAAACTAATTAAAATTGACTGCGATGGAAAGCCCTGAAACTGATACAAAACAGTCCATCTCCATCGCACATGTGCTGATGTTGATTGGCAACTCAAGGCTATTAACTACCTGGCTTAAGATCACGGTGGAAGTATCCACGCTGATGCATATAAGAAAGGCCTTGGAAGACTTGGAAGCACCAATTTCGGATATCAGATTCTGCAAAATGCTTAGGGCGATCCTTCATAAGCTGGTAAAGATTGCACTCCTGATAGAGTAAGAAAGTGAAGAAAATTCAGAGCAATGAAAAAGAAAAGTGTTGGCAATAAGATTAGGCAAAAAGCAGTAAGAAATATACCATGTACTCAAACACAAAATATAGGATATCATTTTCCCGGATGACTTCCTTCAGCTTCACAATGTTTGGATGATTCATTCTGCTAAGCGACTAAAAAGAAAAAAGAAAGGAATCAGCGAACATACAGACAAAAAGACTGAAAACCTTTCAGTTAAGGAGATACAGTACCTTCACTTCTCTAAGATTCACACACTCTTCCCAGGAGAAATACTTCTTCTTCATTCTTTTAACTGCCACCTGTGCATAGAAAACTTCAGTACCCTAGAAACCAAGCACAAATCATTATACACATCTTTATCTCTCAATGAAAAGAACTTACAACTTCACTCGTCTGCTTATTGACAGCTCGCCAAACATTCCCAAAAGTTCCGTCACCAACTTCCTTGAGTAATGTATACCTACAATTGCATAAGGCATCGAGAAGTAAATACAAACTATAAATCGAGGGGTAGGAAGCCAAAGACAAGAGAAAAAGATAAGAGAAATCAAACCTACCTCTCCATTGCCTCTAGGTAAAGCAAAGTATCCCCTTTAGTATTTATCTGTAGAATTTGATGAAATATGTCTAAATTTAATCCTCCAGTTGTTTGTATGGCAGCAAAATCAATGATTCTCCCGCTGGGTAGACTGACCCTTATTTACTTTGAAGTTTGAACATCAATGGGTTGACCATCAAGGTAAAAGAAAGACGCTAAGAGAAAAAGACAGAACATACTGAGAACTGGAAGATGCACCAACAAAAAGTAATGTTCTGGGTAACGGGACGAAACTCATGCTCACAGCATCTCACTCAAGGGGTTCAGAGACTCGAGGAAAAGACACAGCTATGAAAAGTCAAAACTTGAAAAAGAACTGATACATCCTTCTTCAACCAACAGGATATGGAAGAGGGACTAACTAGTTTTTGACTGCAGGGAACAGATTTAGATGACACTCTAGGACTATGTGAAGGTAGGATAACTTGCAAACATCAGCCCTGCAGAAAACAAAGATACCATCATGCAAACGATCATGTTTCAATTGTCCAACAAAGACGTAAAAGAGAATTCAGAGAGTCATATAAGCTTTCTATAAGGAGTTTTGACGTGTTTTCAACTCTTATCATCTTCCTTTTTGAGTTTTCCTAAATTCTTGATAGCAGTTTTTTCCTTCTCTAAATTTCCATATTTTGTATTTATACTCCAAAAAAATCTTTTAAGGAAATCTGATTAATCTCTTATTTCCTTATTGAGATACTAACAATAAATTCTACTTTTACCACACCACTAGGCGTCTAGGCCCCTTAAAATATTTCAGATTAAAAAAAAAACAAACATGTAAACTAAGAAAATTCATCAATTCAAAGTATTTGTGTAAGCTAAAATGCAAGTCTCAACAGCTTTATCCAGAAACCTATACCTGAATCAGAAATTTGCATCACACCTTCCGTAAAGATCGCAGAAGGTCTGACCACTAAGTGCAGTTCACGAAAGAGCCAATAAGGAAATCTGAGTGCACAAGAAACCGCCAATCGAGTGCTTCTTGCAACGAAAAAACTCGATACTGGTAGCAGCCTGAGCAGATGTAATCTTGTTCCATATCTCAAAAGAAGAAAATCCACTAAAAACGAAGCTTAATCTAACCTGATAGTGAGGACCAAATCAGTAAAAAAAAACAACATTAGAAATGCAACGAGCTATACAAAGAATACAAAAGGGGTAATAACTATCCAATAAGCAGGCAGGTCATTTACACAAAGGCAATTTAACAATGAAATCCAGTTCTAATAGACTCCAAGCAGAAATTTTCGCAATTTCTAAAACTCTTAGTATTCCCAACTTCGACGAAGTTTTAACCACAAAAACCAACCAACCATAGACTCAATATATCTCAGATCTGAATGAACGAAGAAATACACAATCCAAAACGAAAACATAAAAAAAGAAAAGCGTAACCCTAAAATTCCAATCAAAAACACAATCCGCATATATACGTTCAAATCCGACTCCACAAAATCTCAGAAACGCGACTCCAATCATACAACAACACTCAAAGCAAATCAAAACCAAAACGACTAAGCGCAAAACAATAAAACGAAGAGAGAATCAGAATCGCATCAGTCAAAATACGAGAAACAAACAAAAAAAACACGGCGATCTCGATTATACCTCAGGAGCCAATAGGCATAAACTCCGTCTCCGACGACGGGAAGAGACTGTATCCAGAGCTTCTCCCTTATCACGACCTCACCGCTCTCTCTCTCTCTCTATCTTTCTCTCTCTCTCTTTGCCGCGTATTTGTGTGGTTCTCGTGATAATAAACAAAAAATTAATAAAACCCTACTTTATAATATCTCAGCTAAAAAGGAGTATATTATTTAGCAATTTATTATGGTAGTGTCTTGTTGGTGCTAAGCTACAATCTCCTGCATCTCCACCTACAGTATTGTTTCACATATAAACCGTGGATTTGTCGCTAATGACGTCATCTCCAATCTGAACCGTACGATTTATCCTTTGCCTAATTTATACTCCGCGTTCCATTTTCAGTTGTAGCAGGAGATAAATACTTGCCTTGACTTTTCGTACAAGTTTTATTTTATTTTCGTTAATGAATTATTGTTTCCTTTCCTTTTTTTCTGGCTCCTAGTATTTCCATTTTTCTCGTCAACAATATTTCTATATTTTATAGTATGAAATAAAGTAATAAATCGACGTTAAATTAAATGTTGTACACACAAACGTGTGATTTCTCTGTAATTGCTGCGTTGTTGAACAGAAAGGCTCAAAAGCATGATTAGTGGCACAATCTTCTCTGAGTCTTATCTGCAATCTCGAGTCTTTGTACACGCTTTCCACAAAAATTTAATCTAATTAAGGTTTGTTTTCTCTAAAATTAACTAATTAAAAATTCATATCATAAATGGGCTTTACAATACCCAAAAATCTTTGTATATGGACTTTTAAAAGCCCAAATAAAACTCATTTCTGAATTTTATTTTATTTTTTCCAGCATTTGTATAGATTTTAATTTGTTTCAGCTTCTTGTACAGTACTACGGAGCAACAATGGAGTTTTTCGACGAAGACAGGCCTAGGTTCGTCTTCCAATCTCGTCCTTCTTCTTCTCACACGACGGAGGAGGAAGAAGAAGCTAAAATCCCTAACAAGATCTTCATTTCAATCTCCGTCTCATTCTCCCTCATCATATTATCTCTCTCCTTCTTCTACTTCGAATCTGAACCTGCTAAATCGCTTCTCTTATGGCTTTCCCTCTCCTTCCTCGTCGGTCCTTTCGCTCCTAGTTCGCTCACCGGAGGTAAGATTCGCGTCGGTTATGGTCAGATCTTGGAGCCAGAGCAGATTCACGATGAGTCATCGACGGATAACGAGCGTGAATCGAGGAGGAAATCGGTGAATAAACGATCTAAAGGGACGACGAAGAACGATACTCCGCCGGAGAATGCTTCTTCGGTGACGGAAGTTTCGAGAAAAGTGGTGATTCCAAAGTCTAAGGAGAGTGGATCTGTAAATGAAACCAAAGATTGGAGTGTTGAAGAAATCGAGATTTTGAAGAAGCAGTTGATTAAACATCCAGCTGGTAAGCCTGGGAGATGGGAAACGGTGGCGTCAGTGTTCGGAGGAAGATACAAGACAGAGAATGTGATTAAGAAGGCGAAAGAGATTGGTGAGAAGAAAATCTATGAGAGTGATGATTACGCACAGTTTTTGAAGAATAGGAAAGCTTCGGATCCTAGATTGGTTGATGAAAACGCTGAGAATTCTGAAGCTGGTGGAGATGATGAAGGTAATAAGGAGATTTGGAGTAATGGAGAAGACATTGCATTGCTCAATGCTTTAAAAGCTTTTCCTAAGGAAGCAGCTATGAGATGGGAGAAGATTGCAGCTGCTGTACCTGGGAAGTCGAAGGCAGCTTGTATGAAGAGAGTTACTGAGCTTAAAAAAGGGTTTCGGAGCTCGAAAACTCCAGCCACTTAGCTAGAGAGGATCCAGTGAGGTAATTGATAAACCAGAGTCTTTGATTGAATAAGCTTTACTCTTTAGCATGAGACCACATGGAGCCACAAGAGCCATTTTCATTGTAGTTGCTACATTTCTGCAGTATTGATCTTTCTAGGCTTGGTGATATCTTCTTTGGTGTTTAATTTTAATCAGGGACATTGAGTTGATGAAATGCTGATAACATATCCTTTAGATGATGATTTATAGGTTACTTATGAATTAGGTTGCATAGCATCATAGGTAAAATTTTACTGATCTAGAATTGAGAAGAAGTCTTTTGAAAACAGGGAGAGGAAGATTGTAACGTGAGGAATCATAGAAACTCTAATGAACCTACTCATAGGGTCCTGGCTCATGTTCTTGATGCTGGTATGGTTTGCTTTTTGATCCATGAATGGTTATATGATTGACGGTTGTTATAAGTGTCCTGAGCCACTTCGTTTTCTATGTTTGCCATACCCCATCATGTCAAACCCCATCAGTTTTCATGAATGCTGTGTGTGCTATTTTTTTTGTTGTTTCTTGGATTCCCTATACATCTGCTAGTTTCGGGTCAAATTTTAGAATGGAATGTAGTTGTTGAACAGAATAATGCCAAAGCCCAAAGGCATAGTCTAACGGGTTTGCTAAGGGGAAAATAATACGGAGCATTATAAATTTAATCTGGCCAGATTGAGTTGATGAAATGCTGATAACATATTTTGCTGATGTTTTGTAAGTTACTTATGATTTAGGTTGCATAACTTTATAGATAAGTTGTTTATCCAGAATTGAGATCTCGTTTGAGAACCGCCGAGGAATCATTGAAACTCTAGTGAACCTACTTATTGGGTCCTGGCTCATGTTCTTGATGTTGGTGTGGCTTGCTTTTTGATCCACTGGTTATAATAAATGGTTGGTAAAAACTCTTGAGGCATATTTTCCATGTTTCTCATGTGTCATGTCAAACCCCATCGGTTTTCACAAAAGCTTTGTGCTAGTTTCCTGCAGCTTCTTGGCTGTCTTTTACATCTGCTAGTTTCTGGTCAACTTTGGTATGGAATGCAATGTTTTGAACAGAATTATGCAAAAGACATGTTTGGCTAAGGGAAAGTTGGCGTCAACTTGACATAGAACTGGTTTATGTTTATAATTATGGTTCTGGTGTCTATCCCTGGTAGAGTATCATTGGTATAAATTTCTCCCTTTTGCTGAATGATTGGTTTCACTTCACGAACTACTATAAAATCTCGGAGTCCTCTGTCACGTTAGATTCGATCTTTAGGGAAAGTAATAGCCTGCATTTCATGGTTTTCTATCTCATTTTGGTAGTCCTTTGAGATGTGCAGAATAAAACCAAATCTATACTAAGTATGAGATCAAATAGAGGTATACACACAAGTTGAAATTCACAGAATGAAGACAAAATAGTCTAAAAATTATCTAATTTATCTTTACACAATCTTTCTTACTGACATGAACCGCTTAACGCAGGACATCTGTTCGAAGTAGGGCAAATACCAGGAGAGGGAGAACAATTTTGTGGTTGCTGCTTGAGATTATTGCTACAAGGCCCAAAAGTAATGAAGAGAGTTATGCAGGAAATTTCTTTTAGAGGCAAGACAAAAAAAAAAGAATCTCAATATGCCAAAGAAATTAACATATGTAGATTTATGAGTTCTTCTTTACTTCAAGCTTTTATTCGAATTACAAGACTTGAGCATCTGTGTATCCTTTCCCAGGGAGCACCTATTTTATTACTAGGGGAATATATATATAAAAAAAACTACAAATATTCTTAATCCAAACTAGAATTTTCATATATCAATTTTGAAAGGTATTTAACTATTTGTAGAATAATTACTTACATCGATTATGAATTTGTGATAATAATCCTTTTAATCTTTTTGACAAATTAAGAAGTTTCAAAAGCTTTTGTATGCTTCATCCATGTTAATGTTGCAGATTGGATATTGGATTTTTTACTTGTTAGGTTTCTGGTGTGTATAGGAGAAGCATGACCAAAATTTGATATTGGATTTGTTACTTGTTAGCTTTTGTATGCTTCATCCATGTTAAATGTTGCATATTGGATATTGGATTTTGTTACTTGTTAGGTTACTACTTACTTGTATAACAAAAAATATTATTTTTGTTTTGTCGCCTATATGATTGGATAATAAAAAAAAGAGAAATTGTTAAGAATGCCATCTTTCTTATACCCTTTTTTAAAACTACCCTTTTTTGCTTACCATTTTTAAAAATGCCCCTTAATTATTTCTAATATGACTAAATTACCCTTCCTTTCATAACCTAAGAACTATCGGTTCCCTCATCTCTTCTCTCTCTCTCTCGCTCTCTCACGTTGATCGGCGAGTATTCCGATTTCAAATCTCGATTCCGATTTCAAATCTCGATTCCGATTACAGATCTCGATCTCGCTCTCATTTCAGATCTATTCTCTCTGTTCCGATTTCGCTTTTCCTTCTGTTTTCGAGTCCCACATCGATTCCAGGTTAGATTCCTCTTCTGTCCCCTTTTCGTTCAGTTTTCGAGTCCCACATCGATTCCAGGTTAGATTCTTTGTAAGGTTTGTCTTTAGAGGTTAGATTATGTGGTTATGTGGTTCTGTTTTGAAAGGTTTGTCTTTTACATGTTAGATTCTGTGATTCTGTGAAAGGTTTTTCTTTTAGAAGCTTTTTTGATATCATTTTCGACTATTAATGATTGATTTTACTGCTTGATTTTGAATTCTGGATTTTACAACATTTTTTAAAGGTCTTATATGCTTTTTAAAGGTTTGTTTCTCTTAAACTTTTTTGCTTTTGTTTTTACTGGATATGGTTTTATACTTTTAATGCTTGGTTTTTACGCAGATGTCTAACAATGACCCATTGGATTTTACAACGTATTTTAAAGGTTTTACATGCTTTTTAAAGGTTTATTTTTGACTGTTAATGATTTTAGTGCTTCAACTTTGTGTATATCATCTCTGATTTATTCAACTTCTGGATTTTATAATGTGTTTTAAAGGTTTACATGTTTTTTTAAAGGTTTGTTTTTACTGTTAATGATTTTAGTGCTTCAACTTTGTGTATATCATCTCTAATTTATTCCACTTCAAACGTTTGGTTCCATGACAAATGGCACAGACTCTCAGCTAGCATAGGTCCTTGCAGATTGAAGCAAAACACCTCAAGACCAGCATCCTCGATGTAGTCAATCACGTAAAGTCGCTGCAGTTTTGGGCATTGCTAAGAAGCTTGACAAGATGAATCAAACATGTCCAAACTCTCCTAACTCGTCTTCTGATACGATTCCATTAGTTGGAATAGAAGAAAATTTGATGATGATTTCGTTACATGTTGTTATGTACCAAAAAGTTTTTACTCAACTTTTATGTGTCTTTTGTAAGTTTGTAACTTAAGAAAATTCCATGTAACACTATTGATTGTTATATTTAGTGCTTTAATTGTTAAAGTGATTGCTATTATTATACAAGTGACTCAATGTGGCTCAATACATGTGATTTGATGAAATAGTGAAGTTAATTTTACAATGTATTTTAAAGGTTTTACAATGTGTTTTAAAAGGTTTTACAATGTATTTTAAAGGTTTACAATGTGTTTTAAAGGTTTTACAATGTATTTTAAAGGTTTTACAATGTATTTTAAAAGTTTTACAATGTGTTTTAAAAGGTTTTACAATGTATTTTAAAGGTTTTACAATGTGTTTTAAAAGGTTTTACTAGATATTTTAAAGATTTTACAAGGTGTTTTAATGATTTTACAAAGTATTTATACAGTATAAGATGAGTTATAAAACTTTGAAAATATTTTATAAAGGTTTTATAAGGGTTTTAAAATTTAAAGATTTTACAAGATATTTTAAAGGTATTTGAAAGGCTTACAAGGTATTTTAAAAGGGTTTACAACATGTATTTTAAAGGTTCGACAACATATATTTTAAAGGTTTTACAAGGTATTTTAAAGGTTTTAAAAGGTTTTACAAAGTATTTTAAAGGTTATGTGAATTTTAAAGGTTTTACAAGGTATTTTAAAGGTTTGACAACATATATTTTAAAGACTTTACAAAGTATTTTAAAGGTTATACAACGTGGATTTAAAAGAGTTTACAATATATTTTAGATCACATCCACAACACAAATCACAATCGTTGTTCTAAAGTTCTTAAGAACACAAATCAGAAACACCAAAACCACATAAAACTCAAACTAATCAATATAACATCAAGTCTTAAGATCTACTCCAGTCTTAAAATTTTACACAGGTACCCATTAGGCCATTATGTAAGAAGCCTTTCTTCTTCGGGAAACAAAAAAAGTAATCCACTGCACATAAACAATAATCTAATCCCATGATTCATCACTCTGCAGCAAAAACAACAATCGATTTTGAAATCACAACTGACAAAACTGAAACTGTGAAATAAAACTTAAACCGAAGAAGAAGAGATTAAAGAGGATTTTTGTGTGATTACAGAAAGTTGAGAAACCAGATCGAGGAGATTACACAGTTAGACCAATTCTTAGTCATATTCTCCACCAAATCGAGAAAATAGATAAACACATAAGCGAATCTCTTAAAAATCAATTGATGGACTAACTCAATTCAGATATGTGAAAGAGGTAATGACAGATTGAGGCAGACTCGGATCTTGGACTGCGGACACAAATCGATGACCAAATCGACTACGACGACGACGATAGATGAAGGATATCCTCGCCGATTTAACTCCCGGCGAAGCTCTGGTCGGCAAAGATGAAGATTCTCGACAGATTGAAGATGAGGTTTTGGTCTCGTCGGTGGTGTGGTGACAGGAGACGGCGTGAATATCTAGCACATGGCATCGTCCGACGACGGTGAAGATGACAGGAGATTGACCTTTTGTTCGTCGGCGGTGAAGGTGATGAGAGCCGCCGAGATTTTTGGTTCGTGCTTGTCTGGGGAACAATTTTGTCTTTTAGGTCAAAGCCTCATTAAGGGTAAAATGGTCAATTTCAGGGAAGCTATTAGGGATGGGGCATTTTTGAAAAGGGGTATTGAAAAAGGGGTATTGAAAAAAGGGCATTTTTGTGAGTCTCCCTAAAAAAAATTAAAAAAAAAAAATGAAGTCTACACCAAGTCAACAAGTAACCAATTATTCTAAAAAATAATAAATAAATAATTCTAAAAATCAAGGGAGACTAACAAAAATGCCCCTTTTTCAATACCCCTTTTCAAAAATGCCCCATTTGGCTGTCCATTTTTAAAAATACCCCTTTTTATGTACAAAATGACTAAATTACCCTTCTTTTAATAAAATATATCACAAATATATAAGGAAATATAACAAAATTAGGTATTTATAGGGAAAAGTGATTCCGCAATTTTTTTGGCGTTAAATTTTTGGCGGGAAAATTTTTGGCGGGAAAAATTTACAAGGTATTTTAAAGGTTTTTTACAGGATATTTATAAGGTTTTACAATGTATTTTAAAAGGTTTTACAACGTATTTATAAGGTATTTATAAGATATTATAAGATTTTAGAAGCAATTTTATAAGGTTTTACAAGTTATAAGGTTTTACAAGTTTTTTTATAAGGTTTTACAAGTTATAAATACCTTATAAAACCTTATAAGTACCTTGTAAAACCTTACAAAACACTTGTAAATACTCTGTAAAACCTTTAAAAAACCTTGTAAATTTTTCCCGCCAAAAATTTTCCCGCCAAAAAAATTTCGCCAAAAAAATTGCGGAATCACTTTTCTCGCAAAAAAAAATTTTTGGCGGGAAAATTTTTTGGCGGGAAAAATTTTTACGGGAAAATTTTACAAGGTATTTTAAAGGTTTTTTACAAGTGTTTTGGCGGGAAAATTGCGGGATCACTTTTCCCGCCAAAAAATATTTTGTATTTTGTGGACCTAATTTTGTTTCAAATATGGGTAAAATGGTCATTAAAAAATAAAAGAGGGCAAACTTAAAAATGGACTCTCAAAGGGGGCATTTTAGAAAAGGGGTATTGAAAAAGGGGCATTTTTAACAATTTATAACCCATGGGAGACTCACAAAAATGCCCCTTTTTCAATACCCCTTTTCAAAAATGCCCTCTTTGGCTGTCCATTTTTAAAAATACCCCTTTTTATGTACAAAATGACTAAATTACCCTTCTTTTAATAAAATATATCACAAATATATAAGGAAATATAACAAAATTAGGTCCACAAAATACAAAATATTTTTTGGCGGGAAAAGTGATCCCGCAATTTTTCCCGCCAAAACACTTGTAAAAACTTATAAAAACCTTTAAAATACCTTGTAAATTTTTCCCGTAAATTTTTTTCCCGCCAAAAAAATTTCCCGCCAAAAATTTTTTTTTGCGGGAAAAGTGATTCCGCAATTTTTTTGGCGTTAAATTTTTGGCGGGAAAAATTTTGGCGGGAAAAATTTACAAGGTATTTTAAAGGTTTTTTACAGGGTATTTATAAGGTTTTACAATGTATTTTAAGAGGTTTTACAACGTATTTATAAGGTATTTATAAGATATTATAAGATTTTACAAGCAATTTTATAAGGTTTTACAAGTTATAAGGTTTTACAAGTTTTTTTATAAGGTTTTACAAGTTATAAATACCTTATAAAACCTTATAAGTACCTTGTAAAACCTTACAAAACACTTGTAAATACTCTGTAAAACCTTTAAAAAACCTTGTAAATTTTTCCCGCCAAAAATTTTCCCGCCAAAAAAATTTCGCCAAAAAAATTGCGGAATCACTTTTCTCGCAAAAAAAAATTTTTGGCGGGAAAATTTTTTGGCGGGAAAAATTTTTACGGGAAAATTTTACAAGGTATTTTAAAGGTTTTTTACAAGTGTTTTGGCGGGAAAATTGCGGGATCACTTTTCCCGCCAAAAAATATTTTGTATTTTGTGGACCTAATTTTGTTTCAAATATGGGTAAAATGGTCATTAAAAAATAAAAGAGGGCAAACTTAAAAATGGACTCTCAAAGGGGGCATTTTAGAAAAGGGTTATTGAAAAAGGGGCATTTTTAACAATTTATAACCCATTAAACAAAATTTCTAAAATTTATTTATCACTACTACAAGGGTCTACAACAACCACTAAAGCTACCCCACTAAATCTCTACCGTTGGATCAGATTATTCGTAGCGATAAACGGCATGAGATCCATTACCCAGCACCAAATAGTAGTCTTCGTGGTTCAGTTTCTCCACCGAACACAACCACGTGCTACATAGTACATAGATTACAAAGTCAACTAAACCGGCAATCACCGGTTTTCCAAAAAAAAAAAAGAGCTTTACGGTTCACCGACTAAACCGGTAACTCTCAATAGAAACTCAAACACGTCTGTGTTCACCACACGTTTTCTCAAAAATCTAAGCTACTCTGCAAAATCATTTTCCGGCGAAAATTCTCAGGTGATTGATTCTCTCTTCGTTTTTCTGATTTATCATATCGATCCTTCATAAAAAAATTTCCTCTATTCGAAACAGATCTCTTCTCTAGGTTTCATATGATTCAATTTTTTCAATCTATAACAAAATAGATCGTGCGATGCAGATTTTCTGATCCTAAATTGTTGCTGAAGTCCTATTTTTCATTCGAATTTTAGGGTTTCATGGTGGAATTTGATTCATAGTGCGTTTAATTTTAGCGTAATTTTTTTGGTTTTGGTTTTTTTTTTTTCCGAAACCTAAAATTACCCGAAAATGAAACTCAAAACTAGTTTTTAAGTTTGATTCTAATGCTGAATTGTTTTCCTCTTGAATCAATTTTGGATACTTGTTCGTTTTGATCATCAACTTAATTTTCAATTTCAATCTCTCAGGAGCTAAAAAGGATATTCAATGGATCAAGAATCATCTCAATGTCCCTTTGTTGCTGAAAGCTTAATCCAGAAATGCCCTTTCTTGAGAAACATCAACAAGCCTACCAATTTGTTCTTCTCCTCCTTCAGTCTTCCAATTCCGGTAATAATTTTCTTACCTTTCGTTAAAAAAACTGAATTTTTATGCTATTTTGATTCTCTGGTGGTGAAGTTTATGCTTCCTTGTGTAGGTGGTGCAAGGAGGTAAAGGTCCGATTTTTGAAGATGGTCCTGGATTTGATTCAGCATTCAAGCTTTTCCATGGAAAAGATGGTATTGTGCCGCTTTCTGGACATTCTAGTTTCCGAGATGATTTTGAAGATGAGACGGCTCGTCGTGCTCCTCTGCAATTCAATCCACTTGCGGGGAAGGTAGCTACTATAAGCCTATCAGCTTTTGGTCCTGGAGGGCCTTTTGGCTTTGGTCCTTTCTCTGAGAAATGGAAGAAACAACAGAAGAAACCTAAACCTTCCAAAAACCAACAGGTAGGATTTTTTAGATTGTGTATAACTTTGGAATTTACTAGGAGTTACTGTTTCTGATATGTTTTTGCTTGATTGCTTGCTTTTCGTAGTCTGGGGACTCGTCGAAACATGAGGCAGTTGGAGACGAATGGTTAAAAACCGGGAATTGTCCTATAGCCAAGTCTTTTAGAGCTGCTAGCAAAGTCATGCCTCTTGTTTCTAAAGCATTAACGCTACCATCTGGTATGAAATATAGATGTCCAGCTCCTATAGTAGCTGCAAGAGCTGCACTTTCAAAGACTGCTTTGGTTAAAAGTCTTCGTCCTCAGCCTTTACCTGAAAAGATGCTTGCAATCGCTCTCATGGGAATGGCTGCAAATGTGCCTCTTGGTGTATGGAGAGAACACACCAAGAAGTTTTCGCCTTCATGGTTTGTGGCGGTCCATGCCGCTGTGCCTTTTATAGCAATGCTTAGGAAATCTGTACTGATGCCGAAAACAGCCATGGCTTTGACCATTGGAGCTTCGATTTTAGGACAGGTGATTGGGTCAAGAGCTGAGCGTTACCGTCTCAGAGCAGTGGCTGAGAAAATGATTACTGAAACCGCTATGGTTTCTGAATACAACCAGAGCCCTGGCGACTCAGGCATTTCTGGGGGACATTGTGGTACAGGAGAGGGAGTGAAGGAGGTTTATTTCAATGTAAATGTTGGAGAATCTGCTAAATCAACTGGACTCTGTTATTGAGAGAAAGTTCTTATTGATTCCAAAAACTACAAATTACTATGTACGGATTGGATGTTTGTGTGTGAGGGAAGGTTTTTGTAATTCAGTGAATTGTGTAAACCTAAACAATGGTGTCGTTTTATCCCTTCTAATGGGTCTAAATAAAAGTTTAATAATTCCCTCAGTAACCTATATTATTAACGCAAAAGTAAGTTACTATGTAGTTTACTTGAATCAGATTTTGATCAGAAAACTTGACCTCATCTAATAATAAAGAGAGTTAATACAAAAACAAAAACACTAAAGACCGACAAAATATGGAACTGAAACATCCTAATGTAGTAGTCTAGTAGATAAGCAAACTTAAAACGGTCAAAACAGCCTCTGACCATTGCTGATGATAATGATGATGTGAAATAGTCCCTCAAGTTTTTCAGTAGCTGCCAACATTTTGCCTTGGCATACCTCCTCCTGCATTGTATCTTCCCGGTGTGCCATTCATGTATTGTCCTTGTGGCTCACTCATAAGGCTTGGGCAGTTTGCCGAAACATGGCTGTTGCTGCCACATGCGTTGCAGCTAGTAATACCGCCAAGAGACCTTGCACCACTACTGTACTGATTTCCATACTGACCCACTTGGTTTGCTGCAGGTACTCCGAATTCTCTTCGTGCATCCACTGATGCGGTGTCTCTAGTTCCTGAGGTTCCAATACCGGAATTAACTGCATCAGACCTGTAGTTGGAACTCTCTGTCTTTGTAGGCAGAGAATTTGCATCTCCTATCTTGAGTTTATCCATTGCCTCTAGCATGCACCTGGTATTTGAAGCATAGTTCAGCTTTTCAGCTTTCACAACTGTTGCTTTAACCCGTTGCTCGTCGCTATAAGTTTCTTCTTTAATCTTCAGCTTGAAAATGTACTTGGTAAAAGCGACACTGCGGATGATATCTTCAAATTTCTCCTCCTCCTGATTTTCATACTTCACATAATACAAATCTTTTGCAGACATTCCCATTATCTCTTCACCAGCTTCCTGGAATGCTGTGGCCCAGGTTAGGCCTGTATGGTCCTGTAACTGGATCTGCAATATATATCTGTAGTCACATTCATCCACGCATTTATCACACTTCTCACAACGCCACGTCCCATCTCCGTTATTTGTGACTTTTTTGCTGCATGGACGATCTCCATTCATGATAGGACAAGCCGTATAGCAGAAATTCTCAACCTTCATGAATGAAATGGTGGCACAGACTGTGATCCAGTCCGGCTTCTCTGAGGTCCCTAGCTTCTCGTCCTTGATCTGAGCAATTACCTTGCGAACTTCTTGTCTGCCTACACCGGAAAACTCTCTAGATATGGAGGTAAAATGAGCATTCCTTCCTTCTCTCTCATACCATTGCCTTAATTCTCTGGCTTCAGGGAAATCTGGCTCTACGAAGAATTGACTTGATCCAATGGTGCTCACTTGCTTCCCGTTGAATTCACCGATCCTGCCCGCTTTCAAAGCAAGAACCGGAAATACCCCAGAATCACAAAGATTTTGCAATTGCTGTCCTTCTGCGTTGCAGAAATTACCCCACATGGTTACCTCGACACTTCGGCCTGACATATCCTTTAACTGAAGTGCCCTTTTCTGTACCTCAGTTCCGTTTTTCCGCATAATTGGTACTGTCGTTCCGATGGACGAAACAATACCAATTAGATCAGTCATGCTGTTGCTCTCCATGTTTTCAATATCACTTATGCTACGAAAATGGAACTGATTGCGTGGAATGGTACCATCATCCTCACAGCGCTGTATCGTTGATGCAGAGTCCAAATGTATTTCATAATCATTGGGAAGATGATTATAGTTCTTCTGAGCAGGCTTCAAATTTCCCCTTGAAATCAGATAAACATTTCCAACTACAATCTGGTCAAAAAATTGATCAACCACATCATTAAAACAAGTCACCCGTATTTCTCCACCATCAGCATCAAGGAGATCAAAACTGAATAATTTCCCTTCCCCACGCGGATTATTAAACCGCCTCAATTCTGCCTTACTCGAGACTCTGACCTTGATGGTCCACCGACCCTGGTAAGGATTAAGAGCAGCAATCGGAATTATCCTCGGAGGAGCTTCATTCCTAGCCACAGGTCCCCTATTAACATACATCGGTGGTTGTTGTGGCTGATAAGCTGACTGAACTGGACGGGAATAAGAAGTTGTTGCAGGAGGAGCCCGAGGTTGCTCCTGCCTAGACCCTCCATAACCTGCATTTGAGCTCACATACGGTCTGGTGGAAGGTGATGTTTCCGGATAACCAGAACCAGTACCATATCTTTGACTAACTTGAGGATGAGGTGAAGCAGCCGCCGATACACCATATCTCACAGCGTCGGAACTGTTAGAACCACCAACTTGAGGCTGAGCAAAACTAGCCGATACACCATATCTCCCAGGGTCGGAACTGTTAAGACCACCAACTTGAGGCTGAGGTGAATTAGCAGATACACCATATCTCCCACCAGTGACATCACTCCTTCTAGCTTGTTGCTGGTCAAAACCACCATTGCTTTGTGTGTTAACAGGAACCGCCGCTCCACCGCGTTGCCCAGGTTCATTAGGAGTTCCAATTATATCACATTTCGCCACAATAACCTCCAATTGCATAATTATAACAATCCTGTCATCATCAACACCAGAACTACTTTAAACAAAGAAAGGTTGGTTCTTTAGACAATTATGAAACTAGGGTTACGAGATTGCAATATTACCTTCGACCCTGGATGAGACTGCAGACATAGTGAGTGATTCTAACAATCGAACCCAATTGAATACTGCCTTGAATCACTAAAGTGTTCAATGTAGTATTAAGCATTCCTGCTTGCAAGTGAATCCCATCTGATAACAAAACCTTATATCGATTGTTAGATTCCTGATTTTGATGAAGCCTGCTTGGAATCATCTTCAATTCCGTTACTTGTAGCACTGGCATCAAATCTATCTCACTCGACACTTCTCCATTCAATATCTTCGTTATCGCTCCTGCCGTCAAATTCACCGCCATCGTTTCCGACGAACCCAATTAACCAAGATTTTGAACTTTAGAGAAGACTCTATTTCGAGAATGGGTTTGGGTTTGATTCAGAAATTGAGAAGACGAAAGAGAGAGGATGATAAATTGAATTAGGGATTTAATGATTGAACCCTAAAGTGGTATAAAGGTGGAAGCTTTTTAGAGGGAAAAGGAAAAGTAGAACGTTTTCGTCAGTTTTGGACTATTTACATATCGGGTCTTGTATTTTTCAAGAATTATAAATAACCCCTAATTCACAGAATTCCTAAATCAAAATCCAATTTAATTGTTTTTTTTTTTTTTTTCGACTTTTCATATTAGAAGCCCAAAACAGGCTAACATAACACTATAACAGTACAAATTAAGGCCCAATAAGCCACAAATTGCAGTACATGAAGATAAGCAATGAAATTAAAGAACACGTGTATGCAACGTGGCAACTTCCCGAGCAGATCTGTTCCACCCATGGCATCGTCACCGACTTGAGAGAGCTTCCTCCACCGGAAACTTCCACCACCGTCTGGTTCTTCAAGCTTCTGCACAGATTTTCTATGATAGCTAGCCTTTAATTTGTACCATTCACCTTTTGCTAATTATCACCGGAAGTAATTGATTGAATTTAAACTTTGTTCGCCGGAATTTAAACTCGATCGATCGGAACTGAAGTATTCTTCAGAGAACTATCTAACACGACAAGGACTCCAATTCTTCATACTCCACTCCTCTCAACCACAACAACTTGAAACCAAACGGCCAAAGAGAACCTTCACTTAATATAATCGCAGGCTGTACAGGCGGAGGAGATCCCGGAGACAGAGGATAATCGGGAGAACCCAGAGACGGAGGAGAACCTGGAGAACACGGGGACGGAGGAGAACTTGGAGAACCGGGAGACGGAGGGGAACTCGGAGACGGAGGAGAACTTGGAGAACCGGGAGACGGAGGGGAACCCGGAGACGGAGGAGAACCCGGTGTCGGAGGAGAACCCGGAGTCGGCTTCCATCCGTCTCATCACCCGGCACCTATGAATCGAGGTAAGGAAATTTAACTGTTTACGTTGTTTTTCGATGGATTCTGGCAAATTCGGTAACTGCCCATATGCCTCAATTTCCTAATTTTGAAAACTGAAAAATCGAATTTAACCTCCCCACTTTTATTCGAGCATTGGTGTTGTAACGGTTCCGACTTGTTCGGAAGTGCGCAAGTGTAAAAGGGGGGTTAATTTGGTGGTTAATAAAATCTGAAATCCAATTCTTACAACCGTTCCGCAATTATTAACTTTTCGTTTACTTCTGTCTCAGTTTTATTCCCCAATTTCTCTGGCTTCTTTAACAAAATTCTCCTAAATGTCATCATCAGAAGACTCAGGCGATTTGGGCGACGGGCCTCCAACTTTGCCACCGCGATTATTTGCTGCTGATTCATATCCATCCGGAGCCAGACTTAACATTTACTCAAAGGCAAACCTTATCGGAACCCTTTACAGTATCTTGGAAAACACTGAAGCAATGACCACCATTCTTCAATCCCAATTTGGCAAGCTTTTCAGTCTCCCTGTGGCGAGGTGTTCAAACTCTGTAAAGTTGATTCATGCTCTTCTCAGTAGGCAGCTTATCACCGGGAAGGAACACGAATTATGGATTGTGTTCGGGGGGAAGCCTATAAAGTTCTCCCTACGTGAGTTCCACATTATATCTGGTTTGCGGTGTTCCAAGATGCCAACGGATGAAGAAATCAAGAGAAGAACTGAGGGTTCTGAGGCATATTGGAATGAACTCTTCCCGCCAGGCTCTGCTGTTCCCACGGTAAAATCTGTTCTTGAGATGTTGAAGGATCCGGAACTCGATGAAGACAAACTTCTACCTTTGGCGTTGTTGGTTCTTGTTGATGGCATTGTAATGTGCTCCAACAAAAAATTGAAAATTTCGAAGGAGACTGTTGGTCTTCTGCAGGATACAGATTTTTTCCTTTCATTCCCATGGGGTACGAAGAGTTTCACCAACACCTTCTCTCGTTTTTCTACGGGGTACACATCGAATGAATCTCTCGTAGCTCGGTTGAAGCAAACGAATAGTGCTTTCTATGGATTCCCTCTCCCACTGCAGCTCATGGCCTTCGAATGCATTCCTTCTTTGACAACTAAGATACCAAATCCGAAAGACATGTCTTCCTTTATTGACAGTCCTTATGGTTGCAGTTCCTCAGTAACCCTTCTAAGCGAGGAAGATATTGCTGCAGTGGAAACAGAGCCACAGGTACCTTACTACATCTTTCCCAAAGTTTAGAACAGCGTTTACTTTTTAGATGTACAGCAATTTGTCAAGTACACCCCTATCCCCTGTACACCTGGTGTGTACATCTGTATTCACAACTATGATGTATGGGAATCCTAACAAGTTTTCTTATTGCTTTGTAGCTTGTTGTGCACCCTATTTTGGAAGCACCTGATGAGTTGGATGAGGATGAGTTCTTATGCGATGACGAGGTATATGACTCGAAGGTAGAGATGTTGGAAACATTGATTAAAGTTGGACACGAATTTTCATCACAAGAGTTCGTCGGAGGTGTCCCCGCTGGAGACCGGCTTGAAGTCTTTGATGCACATATCTCGACAACTTTTCAATCCATCTTGGGTGTAGTGTTTGACATCGTTGTATCCGATAATTTCATTAACTGTATATTGGTAAGATATATATTGATATAGTACTTTTTAACTTTTTGAACATTTTAGTACTTTTATTTATCTAAAAATTTAAGTTTTTGTATATAAATATAATATTGTTTAAAATGATTATATATTATTTTTAACTTCGTAGTTTCAAGTATGTAACGAATTTTTCAAAATTTTAAAACCGTATCATGTGTTATACATAAAATATGTTAGAGTAGTTGAAATGATTAATTATGGTTGAAATTATACTAATTGTATATGTTAGTAATATGTCCAGTATAATTATTTTGTCGTAGAGTTTAAGATTCCAATACAATCATGATGGAGAACATCACATTACATAGTGCTATTTGGAAATTTATTTTGAGTATTTAGATTTTTTTTTTTCTGAGTTTACAATAACACTAGATAACAACCCGCACGATGTGCGGGATGAAGTGATTCAGATAAAATTATTATGATTAAAATTATTATTCGGGATCCAAGATCCGTTTGTGTATAACGAAACATGTTACAATTTTTTTTTGTTTTATTCAAATTTAAGACTATTTCATATAAGAATATGTTTTACCCGTGAAATATTTGAACCTTGAATAAAGCTTCAACATGATAAAAAAATATTGACGAAATGTTACCATTTATGGCAATATGTCTTTCCGTATGTTTTAAAGATTTCGAGATTTTGTAGTATAAAAAGAATTTTTTTTTTTTTAATAAGTAAAAGAAATCCAAAATTTAGCAAAGATGAGATTTGATAGTTTCCAAGCTAAGATTTTGTAGTGTTCCAAATCTAAGATTCTTAGATTATGAATGGATTATTTACGAAATGGTTATAATGTAGTCAGATTTTGGTTTATATACAAATGTGGTTATAATGTTTTTCTTCGAAAAGTTAGAACTCTTCCAAAAAATAGGATTTTAAGTATTCGTAACATATATAGAAAGGAGATTATCTTATTTATTAAAGTAAAAAATTTATGAAAGATGTAAAGATTTTGTAGTTTTGAATTCGAGATTCTTGAACCAAATGTATATATTTTATCATTTAAATATAAACATAAATATAAATATAAATATAAATAAAAAAATTGTTTACACATCCGCTAAAGAAAATTTATATAAATGTATATAAAGAAAAATATAAATATAAAAATATAGTAATATAAGATAAACAAAAAGTGTATGTTTTTAATTATTAATGGGATATATGGATGTATGAGACTAATGACAAATTCTGTAAATAGTCTAATAAATCTTGGGTAATTATCTAAATAGAAGCCAAATCATTGTGAGCGCGACACATCAGCGTGACAATCTTGTTAATAACACATGATGGTAAGGTTTTTTTTTTAAAATGTTTCTCTATTAATATATAGGGGATGTTTACATTTTCTTTCTTATATAATATCAACTAATATTTATTTTTATATAATGTCAAGTAAAACTTAGATTATTATATGAAGACTAAATAATGATAACCATAATTAAGTTAAATATATAATAAAAATATTACACAATTTGAGTAATGGAGGATAGGCAAGAATTTAAAATTAATGAAGATTGAATCATTTGAATATTACGACTTTACGAGTTATACAGTACTCAGCAGCTTCTTTCGTTTACTCTCATGAAAGAAAAAGGGATTTTGGTATATACTATTTTATGTATTTTGATACTGTTGAACTAATTCAGTATTTACTACAATTTGGTGGGTGTAAAATGTTCAATTTAAAACTTAAGTGGTTTAAAACTGTTGAACTAATTCAGTATTCACTTTTACCCAAAGACCAAAATCATGTGGCATTAACGACGTCGTTTTGATTTTTCTTGCGTTTCAAAAAAATACAAAAAATCCCATCTCATAGGATTCGAACCGGCAGCCTCTTAATCATGTAGCTTCTGTCTTTACCAGTTTATTATCCCACAACAATTCTCGAAACAATCTTAACCTTGTTGAATATTAATAAAATATTCTTTGACTAATGAAGAAGAAGTGAGACGAGAGAGAGTAAAGGAGCAAATGTATTAGCAACAAATTCTTCTCTTCTCTCCTTGTTATTAATTTCTACAACAACAACATATATATAGTACATGGAAACTTGGAGCCAAAGCTAATGTTTATGAGTGGATAAATTAAAAATGAAGATAAACTCTAATTACTTGACTTGGGGACCAAGTGACGTGAAGGGGAATATGATGGATAATCATCATAATAAATATCTATTTATAACAAACCTTATATAATTATAAGCCTTTTAAGATATTTTTTCTGGATTCAATAAAACTTTGCGTTTTGGATTGGAGGAAATAAAGATTTTTTAGGGTTCGCGGTTTTTGCTACTCTCATTGTCGATTTTATTTTCTTCTTCTTCTTCTTTTCTTCTCTGAGAGACGAATTGCGAAAGAGGGAACGAAGAGCCACAAAGCCCCACCGATTAACCTGGAAAACCAGTAAGTTGATCACGATCATGATTCTTCCGTTTTCTTCTTATTTTTGCTCTTGATTTTTGCCTTCAATTCTGATTCTCTTCTCGATTTTTGATGTTTCTCTTAGTGGGTTCCGAAGAGGCGAGCGTTCTTGAGGGAAAGTTCTTATCGATTGATAAATGTAAGGAATCTCTAATGATTTTAAAGTATAAATTTCTGCTCTTGATCTGTTGCTTGTTATTCTTTTTGCCAGTACTCAACTACGATATACGCCAGGAAGATGTGGATAGACTGAAAGCGGCTAACATCTGGAATTCTCTGCTGGTCGGAAACAACAGTGATGCTGACTTCTGGGGGGATTGTCTTTTCGTCGGCAACAAGGAGCTCCTTGACGGAATCCGTTTTTCAGATGATGATGTGGCTGTCAAAATCGATAAAGCCATTGACAAAATGATGGTATGTCACTTGTTTTTGTTGTGCTTTTTTTTTTTTTTGTCTTTGATTAATTGATTCTGATACTGTTACAGGATTCACTAAAATCAAAATTTAATAAGTTCTTTCAACACATTAATCATGATTTTGAAAATCGGTTGAAGACACGAAAGAAAGAGAAGAAAGAGATGCAACCTGTGGTTCTTGCAGCTAAAGAATGCTTCCAAAACTGCTTTTCTTTGTCTGAACTGCACGAGTGTCTTAGTGCCAAGTTTTCTCAGAATCGCCAAACAACCGTAACCCTATATGAACACTATACTAGGAAGAAAGGCGGAGATGCTTATGATCAGCTGTCGTTGGTGCGTTCTTTACAAAGAAAGAAGAAAAAACAGCTTGAAGATCAGAAGACTGAGGAAAGTCTTCTGAAAGATGATACTGAGGAAAGTCTTCTTCAAGATGATCATCAGAAGACTGACGAAACTGGTCTTGTTGATCAAAAGACTCTTGAATGTCTTCAAGATGATCAGGCAAAGCGTCAAGATCTTCCTCAAATTTTGAGGCAGCTTTTCACTTCTAAGACGAGGATGGCTGAAGCTATTTCATCTCAGAGGGAGATGGTGGACACTCTAATGGGATTGCAAAGGAAGACTGCAACTAAGGAGGAACTATCATCTGTTCAGAGAGATTTAAGAAGAAAACTCCAAAATGTTGGCAGTGACATATCAAGTCAAGTGGTCACTAACATTCAAGGAACTTTAACTTCTCGCAGTGACGAAGCTGTCACCTTATTTGAAAAAGCTGTCATTTCAAAGCTTAAAAGAGCTATAAATAAACTTCAGACATCTGTCCAGGTAAATTCTAGATTCATTTGGTTCCCTTTTTAATACTTTAGGACTATACAAGAAATCTAAAATCTAAGATTACATGCTTTTACAGGAAAGCGTCAAGATTAGTGATTCGGCCAAGACCTCCCAAAAAAGTCCCTCGATGGATGTGACTAAAGAAATGGTAAAATCAATATCTGATGTTTAATATGGTTGATCTCAGACTGTTTTCTGAGTTGTTGTTAAGTTTTATTGCAGGCTTTGTTGTTAGTTGAGGGAGGTTACGAACGGTGCTTCACTATGGCTCTAGAGATTGATGATGATGATGCTTCACTGTACTGGTTATTGTCTAAGGTAAAAAATTTGTTTGAATTATTCATCTTAGTATCTTATAACCTGATCACAACACTTTGTTTGTCAAAACTTCAGGTTCAACCAAATCAACTATTGGAGCCTGAGTCATTTCAGCTGAGCCAGGAAACTCTTTGGGCGCTTCTGCAGCGTCTCCTCGATTGTGGCTTCTTTTGCGTTATGACAGAGACCCTTTTGATATTTGCGTGGTTCAAAGCTGTGACTAAAGTCCTTAAAACAGACCCGGACATTTCAGGGGATGCTGAAAAAGTCTTAGCAGAAGCCGAACGAGTTGTCCAAGACAAAATTCTGTTATACGTGAATTCTGGCTTACTGGTAGATGACACTCTCGCAGACGAAATCAGATTCTTCAAGCTCAACACCGGAGCCATGATACCATCTGTTGGTCTCGGAACGTGGCAGGCTGATCCTGGTCTTGTAGGAAACGCTGTCGAAGCCGCTGTTAAGGTTCGTCTGTGTGATTTTCGCGGCTTTGTGGTCACTTGATCATAGAGTCTTAAGATTTACAGCCAAGTCTGTATTACTGATTTCTACTTTCACCTAAATTGCTTTTACACTTTTTAACGGAACAAGACTGAGGAATTCTCTTACTGTGCAGATTGGTTTTCAAATCTATGGCAACGAAAAGGAGGTTAGCCAAACTCATCTTTAGTTTCATTGAATTTGTATATTTCGTTTTGGATTATGGTTCTGTTCCTTAGAATATGTATTGGAAGTTATGGGTTAAGCTGTATTGGTTCATTTCCAGAGTTGAATTTCAATACTTGCGTAGGCCAGTTTGATTTACATAGATTTTAAAGCAAAAAGTTATGATCTTTCTTATGATTTGTGCTGTATATTACAATGAGTTGCTATAAAACTGCTCATCTTTGGTTGCCTTGTTTGATCACATACTACTAATTTTACTCGTTTTAATCTTTGGTAAAATGTGGATATGGGCATTTCCATCACATTTTTGTCCTCAAGTTTTAATTTTATTTATAGATGCTTTCCCACTGTTCTGTATCTCTCCGTTTTGATGACCAAATTTTTTTATTTTTAATGTTATTCTATCGACTTGATGTCTGTTGTTTGCAAACTGTGCTATTGTTTTGAATATAGAAATTGATAGGTCCGTGGTTCTCTGTATGTGTTTTTGTCATTAATCAACAATGATTAATTTAAAATAATTGACTGAACCCACCTGTCTCTATTGGCCATTGACAACTTCTTACTCCTGCAGATTGGGTTAGTCCTGAAGAAACTGTTTGATGATGGAGTTGTTAAGCGTGAGGAAATCTTCATCACATCCAAACTCTGGTATTCTACATCACTGTTCTTTAGTTACCTTATAGATTATATCCTTTCTTTTTCGGTGATTAGTTGTCAAGTCTATGTAGCTTCTAACCTTGTCACCTGCTTTATATGAAAAGCTGTACTTCTCATAATCCTCAAGATGTGCCAGATGCTCTGAACAGAACTCTACAGGATCTACAGCTTGACTATGTCGATTTGTATCTCGTAAGTAACATATTAGGAAACCTTGTCTTGAGGAATTATCCATGTGTACTTCTTTTCAAGATAACTTGCAGTGATCCATATTGGTTTTTTGAACTTTGGGTTGTGTTTTATTTTACGTGTATGTTACTGCATCTGTTAAGATTTATGAATCTTAGGACTAGTGTCAGATATTGGTCGAACATCTAATTTTCTTTCAAGTGACATCTTGCGCCGTTTTGTGGACCATTTTTGACTGACCAATAGTTTTTGTGACCTTTTTGAAGATTGACTGGCCTGTTAGCCTCAAGGAAGGTTCAACTGATTTTAAGCCAGAGAACAATTTGCCAACTGATATTCCTAGCACATGGAAAGAAATGGAAGCACTCGTTGATGTGCGAAAGGCCCGAGCTATTGGTGTCATCAATTTCTCAACAAAGAGACTCGCAGAGCTCTTGGAGGTGGCTCGCGTCCCTCCTGCTGTTAACCAGGTGGAGTGTCACCCATCGTGGCAACAAACTGTGCTCAGGGATTTCTGCAAATCTAAAGGCGTTCACCTCTCTGTATGTAGAACACCCATGTCCATATCCTTTTTTCGGAAAACTGACAAAAGATGTTGGAAATTTTAAACATTAGTTGATGTTTCTTCTGTTGTAGGGATACTCTCCGTTGGGTTCTCCAGGGACAACGTGGCTCAAGAGCCCCATTCTAGGCTCGGTTGCTGAGAGGGTAGGCAAGACTCCTGCGCAAGTTGCATTACGTTGGGGTCTCCAAAAGGGGCAAAGTGTTCTTCCAGAAAGTGGATTACATTCCAAATAGGTCAAAAAAGCTTTCTCTCTGTTTTGCTCCTAGGCTCAGGGTTATCTAATGTTGAAAGATTTGTGTTTCAAGGCATGCCATTTGTTCATGAGACGAGTCCTTATAAAGACTCCTGAACAACTTTGGGACGGTGAGATATGAGACTGATCATTGCTATCAAGTTATTAGTACTAGTGCAACTTGTTTCTTACGTTACTTTACTGGTCCTCCGTTTTCGAAATCTTATCTTCTTAAAAATAAAGACACACCCCTAATTATATTGGATTCTGAATCCATTATCAGGAACTTTAGATGCAAGTTATTGTAATATGTTGCGTATAATTAAAGATGGTGCTTCCTAGCTTTAGTGCTAGATCTCTTGGAACTTTGACTTAGTTGGTTTGACTCGGTCAACTGAATTTCAATTGGTTTATACATTCGACCGGCGTAACATTTTTCACAGAGTCATGACCAGATCAAAACATGAGCAGGCACGTAAGCACATTTCAGTTTTTGTCCCGTCTACATATAAATTAACAAAAAAACAGTGGTTATTCTGTTTAGTCAATATGTTAGTCTTAATCTAGAAATTACATGTATGCTGCTGACTGAATTGTTTATAAAACTATTCTCTCGAATTGGAACCCAAATAATTTGGTTATCGTAAATTTTTTTTATGGATTATAGTTTTTACTCTTATATTATATCAAAAGACAATCACGCGTAAAAATTGATGTTTCTTTTACCATTCATATATCGACGTTATATGCTCCTTCTATTTCATTGATACACGCTTGCGCTGAAGCTCTTCAACAGTTCACCAACAAAATGATATATAATTGTGATAACTTTGGTTATCAATATATTTTTATTATTGTGGATGATGGAAAATACAGAGAGAATGATAAGTTTAAAAGTTTCGAATTATCCTTTTTGTTTTTTCCACAACAACGAAATATTCAGAAATGTTTCTAATTATTATTTGTAGAAACTCCAAGATTTAAGAGAACCTTAATTATCATTCTTTAAATCGATCACTTTCGTACAAAACATAAAGCAACTATAAACAATATCGTGATCAATTCTCATTTCCCACTAATCTTAACAGTGACATTAGTATTAAAAATCCATCCAAAGTACATCATTAATAGTATGATATGACCATTAATTATGTCAAGAAGGATAACAATGATTCAAAAAAAAAGGATAACATGATCTTGGTCACATGTATGTAAAATAAGACATCAAACCAACTTCACAAGAACTACAAAATAATCTATTACATAATAAAAGAGCCGAACGCAGCCGATGTGGTGATGGCTGAAGAAGAGTACACTTGCGTCGACGGCCAAAAGAGGAGAAGCTATTGGATCCATGACGTCGTTTACTGCTTCCGCGCAATCCAATGAGTACGGAGGCGTTAAGAGTAGACGAATAAGGGAAGCTCATTGGAGACGACATTCTTAATAGCTAGCCAATTCGAAAGAAAAAAAAATAGCTAGTTAATGGATTTTAAATTTGGTTATTTGAATGTTCAAGAGTGGAAGCCACAAGAATGACAATGGGAATGTGGCACCTTGAACTGCCTCTATAAGGTAAAATTTGATGTTAGCCTTTTAAATACCAAGCTGTTAATTAATGAGGGAGATCAACTTGATCAATAGGTTGAATGTTCACAAGAATTAAGATGAAACGTATGTAAATTAAGCACACAAATTTACTGCAAATTTACCAAGTTCATATAACGTATTTGATACATTTCAGTGTTCTTGGTGTCTTTGTATACGAGAAAGAGGCAGATGGAGGGGTTAATACCAACATGGCAACATGTATATATATGTATAATCAAGAAACGCCAAAGCATAACCCATAATGTAAGGAAGATTTTGGTATTGGCGCTGCCAAATTACAAGGCAAGTGAAGGAGCGGTGTTCAGTCAAAACGCGTGCCTTGTGTCGAAACTGCAAACACAAACTATCTTCGTGAAAATTTGGTTTAATATCTCACTTTCTTCTCTGATCACAATGTCACATTTTTACATATTTTAATTTAATTTGTTACTAATTTAAATTATGATTTTGGTAAAATGGAGTTGGTTTGTCTTTAACTAAATCTATAATATAACTTTTTCTTCTATGGTAGGATAAATGATTATAAGCTAGCTAAATTGTTTTTAGTCAAGTAGGGATCTAAAATTTTGTGTGACCACACACAAGGATCTAAAAAGCTACTTGGAACCAGTTCATAAGTTGGGAAGCATTATAAAATATTTTAGGTCGTGATCATAATTTGCTAGCTATCTAATACTTTATGAAAGCTAGATGATGGGTTCAGTCGTTCAGACATTTGCTGCAAAATTACATGCATGATTTTCAATATACAGGTTTACTTGTTCCTAACCGAGGCAAATTTGTGTGCGCATGCCTGGTATCGAGAGTTATATACTGATCCATGCATATTACTTATTAGGGATTACTCTCAAGCCTCGGGACACTATGTGCATGTGGAGAGGCTTATAACAAATGTTTTTCAGAGAATGTAATCGCTTTCGTCCTATTCCTATTTGTAAAGGAGGTGATCTCTCTGTCCCTGAAGCTACTGCTAAGCATTTCATGCTGCAGTTAGGTAAGTTCTAGGACATGTACTCGCTGAGAGTTTTTTCTTTTTTCTTTTTTTATGTTACAACGGCTGGCTTACCAGTTCTTCGTGACAATAATATTATTCACCGCGATTTAAAGCCTCAGGTGTGTCTGGTTCTCATTCCTTTCAGTGATCTTCTGTGTTTTTGTTGTTATTAAGTATGTGAGCTCGTTGTTAAATGATACAACTTTCACAATCTAGAATTCAAGTGCCAACGTGCATGTTTCTTCTTTTTTCATTGGAATATGCTTTTTATGTGTTTCCTTTCCTAAGTAGAGATAGAGAGAGATTCCATCTTTGTTGAAATTTAATTTCTACGCTTCTTGACACAGAATCTTCTTCTATCCACAGATGAAAATGATGCAGATCTGAAGATTGCTGATTTTGGATTTGCAAGGTATTGTCATCAGCTCCCCCTGTTACTAGATCAAAGAGTGTAATATGAGTGAATTAGAGAAGGTCTCGAATGGGCTCGAGCTGCTAGGTAATTTCATTCTTTCTTCTTGGGGATTCTTCTGCTACTAGGTAATTTCATTCTTTCTTCTTGGGGACCCCCCACTCTTCAGACTTTTTAATTTGCATTTGATTTTGAACATCACACTTTTTGTAATGCAGGTCGTCGCAACCTAGGGGGCTTGCAGAAACATTATTTGGTTCACCATTGTATATGGCCCCAGAGATTATGCAACTTCACAAGTATGATGCAAAGGTGAGGACCTTTCTCTTACTTATCTACCTATACCTTTTCTCTTAGCATAGTCTCTTTACAATCTATCTTAAAACACAGGCAGATCTCTGGACTGTTGGTGCTATCTTATCTCAACTGGTGACAGGCAGAACGCCTTTTACAGGAAACAGCCAAATTCAGGTTTTTGCATTCTCTGTCTCAGAGATTTCTGTAATATCTAAGTTGTTAGATATGACTTGAACTAGATTGGGCCCGTGACATTAGGCCCAAATTAGTCTAGGGTTAATTAGGGTTTCCTCCCTATAAATACTCTTGTTAACCTAGCCTCCATGTATTCTGAATTCTGTATTCTCCAGTAATAAAATCTGTCTCTTTGCCCGTGGACGTAGCCAACAGAAAGTGTTGGTGAACCACGTTAAATCTGTGTCGTGTTCTTTACGTTTTGTTATCTTGCTCACATCCGTTATAACAAACTGGTATCAGAGCACAAGGTTCTTCGTTCTGCGTTTGTCGTGCAAATTTCGTGCAGTTTCAGGTCTGTGCAAAATTCGTGTCAGAGCACAAAGTTTTTTTTTTTTCTGCGATTCGTGCAATTTTCGGGTTGAATAAGTTTCGTGCAAATCTCGGGCAGAAACAGTTTCGTGCAAAATCCGTGCAGATCCGTGCAGAAGAAAATCCGTGCAAAATCCGTGCAGAAGAAGTTTCGTGCAGAATCAGGTTCTGGGAATTCCGCGTTTTGTAATTTGGTGAGGAGATGTCTACGATGAACGTGAAAATCGACAAGTTTTCTGGGAGAAACAGTTTCAGTCTTTGGCAGATTAAGATGCAAGCCCTGTTGAAGCAACAAGGCTTGTGGGCGCCATTGTCGAAAGACAGTAAGGGGAAGGGCGACGCTGCTGAGATGGCTGTCATGGAAGAGAAGGCACACTCCACAATCATGTTGTGTCTTGAAGATGAGGTCATCCTTGAGGTTTCAGGTGAAACCACTGCTGCAAATATGTGGAAGAAGTTAGAGACTCTGTACATGACAAAGTCTTTACAGAACAAGTTGCTGTTGAAACGTCGTCTGTTTGCATTGAGGATGCAAGAAGGTACGCCCCTGAAAGATCACTTAGATCAGTTGAACTCAGTATTACTAGAGCTGCGTAATATTGATGTTAAGGTTGAAGATGAAGATGCTGCTTTACTTCTGTTGGTATCTTTACCACTATCATATGAGAACTTTGTGGAATCATTTATAGTGAATAAAGTTACAGTTACATTGGAAGAAGTCAGGTCTGCGCTTCACAGCAGGGTGTTGCGTCATCAGGCGGCTGGTACAGGTACAGATAATCAAGGCTCTGGTCTAGTAGCCAGTGGCAGCAATGGGTTGGGGTACAATAAGAAGAACAGAAACAGAAATCAGTTTTCTAAGGGTCCCAAGCCAGATGATGTCTGTAATTACTGTAAGGAGAAAGGGCATTGGAAATCAGACTGCCCTAAGAGGAAGCAACAAGGGTCTGCTGCTGTAGCAGAAAATAGCACAAAGTCTGAACAGGACTTTGCTCTAGTTGTTGCTGCAAACGCCCAGCACTCTGATGTGTGGGTTCTGGATACTGGTGCATCATATCATATGTGTCCAAGGAGAGAGTGGTTCTCAACATATGCACAGGTAGAAAATGGCTGCATCAAGATGGCCAACAGTTCTATCAGTCAGGTTGCTGGAATTGGTTCGATACAGATCAGGACACATGATGGTAGATTTTGCACTCTGAACGATGTCAGACATGTTCCGTCGATGGAGAAGAATCTGATATCACTGAGTCTGCTTGATAGCAGAGGTCTGAAATATTCTGGTGGAGACGGAGTTCTGCAGGTCTGTCAAGGTTCTGATGTGATTCTGAAGGGTGTCATACGTGGTACTCTGTACATCCTACAGGGGTTCACAGTTACAGGTTCAGCAAGTGTTGCATCTGCAGAAATTCAAAAGGAGGATATGACTAAGATATGGCATATGAGGCTTGGTCATATGAGTGAAAGAGGGATGCAGATTTTGTCAAAGGAAGATCTTCTGTGTGGCCATGAGGTCAAGAGTCTTGAGTTCTGTGAGCACTGTGTGTATGGGAAGCTTCACCGTAGTAAGTTCCCTAAAGCTGTTCATATAACCAAAGGTACGTTGGATTATATCCACTCTGATTGTTGGGGTCCAGCTCGAGTTGAGTCTTTGGGAGGTCACAGATATTTTGTGTCGATGATTGATGATTACTCAAGGAAGACTTGGGTGATTATGCTAAAACACAAAAGTGAAGCTTTCAAGAATTTCAGAGAGTGGAAATCTTTGGTAGAGAATCAAACAGGAAAGAAGATCAAGAGGCTGAGGACAGATAATGGTCTGGAGTTTTGTTCATCTGAGTTCAACCAGCTGTGTAAGGATGAAGGGGTTGCTCGACATCACACTGTCAGAGATACACCACAGCAGAATGGTGTAGCTGAACGGATGAATCAAACATTACTGGAGAGAGCAAGGTGTATGCTCTCTAATGCTGGTTTAGAAAAGAGGTTCTGGGCTGAAGCAGTAAATACAGCCTGTTATTTGATCAATCGTGGGCCGCACACTGGAATCCTGTGCAAGACACCTACAGAGATGTGGTCTGGTAAATCTGCTGATTACTCTAATCTTAAGATTTTTGGCTGCACTGTTTATTATCATGTCAATGAAGGTAAACTAGAGCCAAGAGCAAGGAAGGGAGTATTTATGGGCTATGGAGATGGAGTCAAGGGATTCAGGGTTTGGTCTCCATCAGAGAACAGAGTGATTTTGAGCAGGAATGTTGTCTTTGATGAAGTTTCTATGCTTGGATGTTCAGCGAAGTCTACAACTACTAAAGAGAATGGTAGCTTTGATAAACAGGTGGAGCTGACAGATGATCAGAGAGCTATTTTACAGCAACAGGAACAGAGTCAGGAGCTACAGAAAGCAGATGGTTCACCAGATCCTATCAAGCCAGAACCAAAACCTTACAGTATCGCTCTAAACCGAACAAGGAGGATTGGAGTTGGACCACCGCAGAGATACGGTTATGAGGATACAGCAGGTTACTGTCTTGAGAACATGGCAGGGTATGCTTTACAAGTTGCAGAAGAGGTGGATACTCATGAGCCATCCACTTATCAAGAAGCTGTTTCAGGGGCTGAGGCTGAGAAATGGTTTGCTGCAATGGGAGATGAGATGGAATCTCACAGTAAAAATCAGACTTGGGATTTGGTCACACGACCACCAGGAAGAAAGATTGTTACTTGCAAGTGGATCTTCAAGATAAAGGAAGGGATATCACCGGTAGAAGGAGTTAAGTACAAGGCTCGAGTGGTTGCAAGAGGTTTCAGTCAAAGAGAAGGAGTGGATTACAATGAGATTTTCTCACCTGTGGTCAGACACACTTCCATCAGAACGCTGCTAGCAATAGTGGCAAATCAGGACTTGGAACTTGAACAGCTTGATGTTAAGACAGCTTTTCTTCATGGAGTATTGGAGGAAGAAATATACATGACTCAACCAGATGGTTTCCAAGTTCCTGGAAAGGAAGATCACGTGTGTAAGCTAAACAAGTCTCTGTATGGGCTCAAGCAGTCTCCCAGACAGTGGTACAAGAGGTTCGACAGCTATATGATGGAGCTAGGCTACATCAGAAGTCCGTATGATTGCTGTGTCTACACTAGCAAGCTGAAAGATGAATCTTACGTTTATCTGGTGCTTTATGTAGATGACATGCTGATAGCTGCCAAACAGATGTGTGATATTCAGAGATTGAAAGATCTGCTCAGTGCTGAGTTTGAGATGAAGGATCTGGGAGCAGCAAAGAAGATTCTGGGAATGGAAATTCTCAGAGACAGAAGTCAGAATAAGCTTTTCTTGTCACAGAAAGGCTACATTCAGAAGGTGTTGAACAGGTTTGGTATGTTATCAGCAAAGCCTATTGACACTCCATTCGCTGCTAATATTCATCTCACCATGTTTGCTAATCAGTCTGAAGAGGAAAAAGAGTATATGTCTCGTGTTCCTTATGCTAATGCTGTGGGAAGTTTGATGTATGCTATGGTCTGTACAAGACCAGATCTTGCACATGCAGTCAGTGTTGTCAGCAGGTTTATGGGACAACCAGGAAAAGAACATTGGCTGGCTGTGAAGAGGATTTTCAGGTACCTGAGAGGTACGTCTGATGTTGGCCTCATATATGGAGGTGAGGTCCCGAGCCTGATTGCAGGCTATTCTGATTCTGATTATGCAGGAGATGTAGACAGCAGAAGATCGATGACAGGTTATGTGTTTACCCTGGGTAATTCTGTGATTAGCTGGAAAGCAACTCTGCAGCCAACTGTGACGCTGTCAACTACAGAAGCAGAGTACATGGCTTTGACAGAAGCTGCTAAGGAGGGTATTTGGTTGAAAGGATTGGTCAGTGATCTGGGTTTGCATCATGATCAGGCTACAGTGTACTGTGACAGTTTGAGTGCGATCTGTTTAGCCAAGGATCAGGTCCATCATGAGAGGACCAAGCATATTGATGTGAGATATCATTTTCTGAGAAATGAGAAGAGGATTCAAGTGAAGAAGGTAGGGACTGCAGATAACCCTGCTGATATGTTCACCAAGCCGGTTCCTCAGAGCAAGTTTAAACATTGTTTGGACTTGCTGAATATCTCAAGCTGTTAATCGCCCTGAAGGGCGAACAGGCCCCTGACGGGGCAGCAGGTCCCTGGAGGGACATCAGGCCTCTGAAGAGGCATCAGGCTCCTGATGGAGCATCTGGCCCCAGTGGGGTATTCTGGCTTCTGATGAAGCATTCTGGCCCTGACGGGCGTTCTGGCTTCTGATGAAGCATTCTGGCCCTGACGGGCGTTCTGGCTTCTGACGAAGCATCTGGCCTCTGAAGAGGCAACAGGCTCCTGATGGAGCAGTCTGGTTCGACAGAGCATCTGGCTTCTGAAGAAGCATCTGGCTCAGCGGAGCATCTGGTCCCTAACGGGACGTCTGAGGCAAAGAAGAATTCTGGTACGTTTGTCTGCTACATTTGGTTGGTACTTCTGGCGTTGTGATAATGCATCTGGTACAACAGTCTGGTAGCTGAATCTGGTACATCTGTCTGAAGGAGAAGTCTGGTACTTTTGGCACTGTGAGCAGTGCATCAGGTACATCTGTTTGGAGGATTCAAGTCAAGGTGGAGATTTGTTAGATATGACTTGAACTAGATTGGGCCCGTGACATTAGGCCCAAATTAGTCTAGGGTTAATTAGGGTTTCCTCCCTATAAATACTCTTGTTAACCTAGCCTCCATGTATTCTGAATTCTGTATTCTCCAGTAATAAAATCTGTCTCTTTGCCCGTGGACGTAGCCAACAGAAAGTGTTGGTGAACCACGTTAAATCTGTGTCGTGTTCTTTACGTTTTGTTATCTTGCTCACATCCGTTATAACATAAGTGTTTGTCTTCTGGTGCATAAAACTAACACATTCTCCATCTTTTGTTCGACAGCTGCTCCAAAACATTATTAAATCAACCGATTTACATTTTCCAGCCGACTGTAGAGATTTGAGTTTGGACTGTATAGATCTGTGTCAGAAGTTACTGCGTCGTAATCCAGGTCAGCATCAGACTACAATTCTTTAGCACGAGGCCCATTGCCCTGGGTCTAGTGGCATATGTGTATTGGTCTAAAAAAGTAAAAGCGTATTGAATTGTGGCTGTTCATGACCTTTGATTGGCAATTTAAACAATTTACAATATGTACTGTGCTCACAGTTTGTGATTTTTTTTCAGGATCTTGGAGTAGTGATTTGAAATAGCAATTTACAATTAGTTCTCCTACACCACAGATTTATAGTCTAACTTGTGGTGCTACTCTCTTCGTATTCAATGCGATTACAATCCATTTTTGAATTTCTTGTCTTTCTCAGTGGAACGTTTGACATTTGAAGAGTTCTTTGGTCACCCCTTTCTTTCGGAACGGCAGTCATATGAGCTCTCAAGGTAGATGTGACAGTTGTCTTGGCTAATGCGTTTTTCCTCTCTTTACGCAAACATATGTACTGATGAATATATCTCTCCTGCAGGAGTAGATTGGGATCAAGGGCTATGGACGATTTTCTTTCTTCTGGAAGCAGTCCCTCAAGAAACATGGAAGAAAGTTCTCAAGACGACTGTTTGCCATTCCTTTTAGATGATGATTCTAGTGGACCTGAGGGGAGCCCTTCTCATTTGAAAAGGACCTCCTCAATGAGGTCGTCCTCGGGATTTAACATCGATGCCAGAGTTGAGAGAAAGGAGACGGGATCTAGTCCTTTGCAATGTACAGAACTTACTTCCAGATATAGTAGAGTCAACCAGGGAGTGGAAAACAATAGATTTAGAAATGAAACTCACATAAATTCTGATAGGAGAAACCATGGCGAACATACAAGACTGACTGATTCCTAAAGGAAGAGGTGCGTTGATTATCTTCTATTTACTACGCCCTAGAAAATGGCAAAGCTATCTTGTTCCGTTTCTCATATATGTTAGTTCTACAGTAGATGATTCTCAAGATTCCATGGATCAAGACTACGTTCTCGTTTCTGGACCACCGGTGGATTTGCCATCATCGTCATCGAGTTCCTCCAAGGCTTATAATTTTCCATGGGTCTCAAGATTCTCAAGATTCCATGGATCAAGTCAGAACTCTGCTCCGAGCACTTCTCATGGGTCGCTGGATCTTGGGGATGCTTTTGAACAGCCATCAACTAACAGCTTGACAAGAATCAGTTCTCTGAAAAAGTGTGCAGCAACAATTGCAGAATTAGTTCATGAAAGGGTAACCAAACTTTACATTGTTTATGTGGTTATCACCGTGCCATGGCCAGACAACATGAGTTTCTGAGCAATTTCTTTTCATGTGTCTTTGCGTAGATAAAATCTGACAAACACCTAGAAGCTTTCTCGATCCAACTGGCGATTCTGGCTATTTGGAAACAGGCACTGCACATATGCCATACTCAGGCAATCTCAGGTTTGGAAGGAAGCCCAAGTCAAGACATTAACAAACTAAGAGGAAGTAGCAGCCGGAAACACGAGCGTATCACTGATATCAGCCATGATGGATTAGAGGAGATATCCTCTCAGATTCAGAGGCAGTTTATCCGGGAGACTGAGGTTTCTGAAGAACTTTCCAAAGAGTATCGAACCAGGTATGTTTTTCTCTTGGCAAAAAAGAAAACTCTTCTGCTCTGTTTTTGTGGTAGTCAAGATCTTAATCAACTTGGCTGTAGGCAATACAATGATGCCTGATGCTATGGAGACGATATTTGAAGCAGCCCTCGATCTTGGAAAACTTGGGGGAGTAAGTTTTCTTTTGCCTTTCCCCCAAAAAACTTGATAAAACAATTCAAATCTAAAGAAGAGAATAATCAATTAGTGGCTTTTTTGCAGGTTAAGGAGGTTATGGGAGACATAGAGAACGCAGGAAACCAATATTCGAAAGCGGTGCGTTTGCTGGTATTCCTTCTAGTAGAAGCACCAATGCTGATTCTGAATCCGCCATTGTCTCTCACAAACTCAGACAGGTATCGCTCAGAACATATATCGATATCCTGAGCAGAAGATTAAAACATCTGCAATCACATAGAAGAAGCTCAGGCGCTCAGATGCAAGGATCATCATTAGCATGCAAATGAACTTATTCTTAATGTCTGATCCTATATACTTCTTACTTGTCAAATATTTGTCTCGTACTTATGCTTTACATACTTTATTTATTCTTATTCTCAATATCGTACAAATACATTTAAGAGCAACGACAAAAAGTTTTCACTTTTCAGTAACACACGTGTTTGGAAGTTACCGTACGTGCCAAGGATGAAGAGAAGTAAATACACAGTGAAGCGCCGAAGAAAAATAAGCGCCTATCACTCTTGCAGTCACCACTCTCTGACTCTTCAACTCCGCAGGGTCCATTTCTCCTCTCTCTGGTCAGATACAAGGTAAGGGTTTCATCCTCATCCACCAAAGTTTCCATTTTTGAAATTTGCTTTATACGTTGGTCTCTTGTTTTCCCCTCATTATCTCGGCTTTTGTTAGATTCTAGATAAAAGAACAAAGCTATTCTGCTTTATACATTTTTTTTGCTGTCTTGCAGAAGCTTGTTCGGAAGAATCTTTGATTGGTCGGTCTTTAGTTGGGGATCGCTTCTTAGCTGATTTATCACCAGTGTCGTTACTCTCCTCTTTTAGAATCTGATTGGAGAGTACTATTTGTCGAGGCCCAAGAAAAGGAAGGGCTCGCCTCTACAAGTCTCATCTTCAACAGATTCCATCTCGTGTTTGGTTTCCCAATCACCCAGAACACCAATTGGAAGAGTGAGGAAATTACCATCAATTGGACGAAGATTCAAGAGCAGCGTTACAAAGATCCGTCAAAACTCCCAGATTCTGACACTTCCTCGATGTGGAAGCGCTGATTTGAAGAACGAGCAAAAGGCTTTAACAAAAAGATATAAATCCGAAACAAAGTTCGGAAAACTAAACCGACAAAAGCCGGAACGAGATCCGGACGAAGCCGGAAAATCTAAAACAAAAACTAATCCGACATACAGTCGGAAGATCTCCGATATTAATCGGAAAAACAAAAGAGATGAAACAAAGTTTTCTCTCTCTAAAAGATCCGAGAGAGTTAAGAGAGAGAAAACTTTAGACTACCACTGTTTAGACTTTTATCCAATTTAATTGTATACGAATTGGCGAGTGATGTTCAAAATTTGTATGCAGATTTCTAATGGGTAGTAGGGTTTATAAATTTTGAAAATAAATTGTAAAGAAATGAGAATTAGGGGACCAAAAGGGTGAAATAATTTCGGAACTAAAAATATTAAGCTTACCGAGAAAGCTTCACTTTTTCAACTGCTGACGTGGAATACTTAGTGGCCACGATTAAGCTCCACTAAACGTTACAATTAAAAAGAAGTTTCATTTGGAGTCCAAATGACAAGGACTACGTCAAAGGCCCATTACAGGGCCCAAATCTAAGAATTTATTGCAAACTTTGAATCGGTGGACTGATACTACTTCTCAGTTCTCACAAAGAAGAACTTAATTAGCTAAATCACCAACATATAAATTGTAACTAGAGCTTATTAAGATTGTTTTTTTGGTTATGAATACTAAAAAAATACTGCTGATACTTCTTGAATCCATAGATCACTTAAACAGAGATTGTCATTAATGAAATCTACTACACCTTCTTAAAGTCATTTTGCTCGAAACAGAGTGAGTGATACAAGGAACATTATTTTCTGAACAAGTGAAATATGAGATTACAAAAGGCAAGTACTACCAGCTTCGGTTTCGCAAAGCCAACACCAGTAACCGCAGAAGATATCGAGCTTTTTCCTCAAAACCGCTAGTCTTAGTCACATTGGAAGATCCCTGGAGAAAAAAAAGAGAAAGAGATGTCAGATTAATGAAAATCACAGCAGTCTAACTAGTTCTAGATGTTCATTCATCTTCTTGACAATGAAGATTCAAACATTCTTTAAGTTTCACCACTATATAGCGAAAGATGAAGAATCCATGGCTAAACATTAACCAGAACGTAGTTTTAGTCAGTATGAACAATCACCTGGTTCTAGATGAGCTTGCCTTTAGTAAATCTCATCATCTGGTATCTCGGGAGTCAAGAATTTCATCGGATCCTTGCTAATCTCCTCGTAGTTTACTCTCGGTTTCACTCTATCAGGAACAGGTTCAAGAGGAATAATACTGTCTCCATCAATAACTCCATCTATTAAACCATACTCAACTGCTTCAATCGGAGACATGTACCGGTCTCTATCAATATCTTTCAGAACCTGCTCAAACGATCGACTAGTACATCCCGCGATAATGCTGGTGACATTGTTCTTGTTATGCATAACCTCCTTAGCTTGAATCTCAACATCTATAGCTTGACCGCTCGCACCTCCAAGTGGTTGATGAATCATTATCCTCGTGTTGGGCATAGCAAAGCGCTTACCTTTAGTTCCCGCACCAAGAATTATGGAAGCTGTTGATGCAGCAATGCCAAGAGCAATCGTCGAAACATCAGCTCTCACAAGCTGAACCACATCGTATATAGCCATGGTTGCACTAAAACCAAACAATCAGGACATTAAGTTAGATCATCTCAAGTATAATATAAAACCAAATCAATCATTATACAAACAAGTCAACTAAAACCCTAAAATCTGACCTACGTTGCAAAAAGACTGAAACTTAAAGTTCTCACTCAATTGAATTACTTTGCAATGTCAACTAAAACCCTAAAATCTGACCTAAGTTGAAAAAAGACTGAAACTTTAGCCATTAACGCACAAACCCAGATGAGAAAACAAAGAAACGAAATCAAGATTGAACCTGAGAGAACCACCAGGAGAATTGATAAAGAGTTTGATATCTTTCTTAGGATCTTTAGCATCTAAAAGCAGCAATTGACTCATGATAGCATCAGCGACGAAATCATCGATACTACTACCGAGAAAGACGATTCGTTCCCTAAGGAGAAGACCCATGACGTCAGATTCAGCTCCGCGAATAGCTGATTCCTGTGTCTGTGACATCTCGATTGAAGCATTGGCGAATCTCAATGGCGACGGAGAAGTTGTTCTGAGAGGTGGTGAAATGAGTTTGGTGGGTTTGAGGTAGAGATTGTTTGGTTTAGGAAACGAAGAAGAAGATGCAGAGGAAGATGAATTGAGTCTTGATGAAACGAGAGAAGGTTTTAGAGAAGAGGAGAGAGATAGGGTTCCCATGGCTGAAGCGAAGAAGAAGAAGAGAGAAATTTGGGGAAATGTGGATTTGATGAAACAAACAAGAACAAAGAAACACGCGACTAAATGACCCGACCCGGAATTGAACCGGGTCGGTTAATAATTGGTCTACTTATTCCAAGTTACGGTTTATTGGGCTTTTGGCCTATTTAGTATGCGAACCAGACCGAATTGAATTCGACGAAAGCACCCCAAACCAACCATTTAAATGCCTATTTGGTATGCGAACCGGTCTCGAAATTGAATCATGTCAAATTGTACAAGTCCTGTCCTTATCCAATCATCAAACGTATTGAACCAAACCAAACAAAAAGCCAAACCCATACAATATCTAACCACACTCAAATTGGGTCCAACCCTACTAATCATTGTTTCACAGTCTCTTGAAGAAACTTAGAATTATTCATTCATTGTTTCACAATCTACTAATCATCGATGAAGAAACTTTCACTGTCTGTGGTTTATATATACATACACTTATCAAAGATGTTGAACACATTATACAAACGGATATATATAGCTTTGATATGATTCACACAAACAAGAAAAGACAACCAAACAAAGCGTATAAACAAAAACAAAGTATCAACCTTTTGTGTACCCAATATGATATTTCTTCAACGTTCTTCATCGGTTTTCTTGGTCTTCTCAAGTTCAAGCAAATAAATCTTCTCAGCTTCTGGTACAGCCATGGTTAAAGCTCGAAGCCTATGGTTCAAGTCATCAAGCTTGTTCATTACCCTATCGTTTGTGAACATTCCCATACAAACACTCTTGATCGTGTCCCAACTTTCCACTAATGGCAAACCAATTATCACAATGGATCCTATAGTTCCCCAAGCTACAGCCACAATTGCCCAAAACCAGAAATATCCTCTGCTAAACACACCTGCATGCAAAAAAATCCAAATTTTGATTGATGTTCATGACTTAGGCTCTTGTTAGTAACCAATTTTTGAACAAGCTTAAATTCAAAAAAAAAAAAAATGACTTATATGGGAAGTACTTACGTGCTGGGAGAGAGAGAACTGGCCAAATGATAACAATGAGGATAGTGAAGACAAGGCCCCATTTCACAATCCAAGCTTTGGCTCTTCTAAGCTTCTCTTCTCTTAGTTCTTCGGCCGGAACATCAACTTCTTCGTCCCCTGAAGCATCAGCTTCCACTACTTTGATCTCCCTCGTCGTCGACCAATCGTAATTCTGTGGCCGGAGTAGACTACACACCGCATGGATCAACCCTCCTATATATTATTTACACGTACGGACCAAAACAAACCAAGATTAGGTCTTTGTTTATGTTTTAAACCATCATAATAAAAATCTAAATAATTTATTTCAAGCTAAACCGAACTGACTAAACTATAAGAATCTGACCTGCTAGAATCGCGACGAGGTTACCAGCTAACATGGGGCCATTTTTCCCAGTGCTATCAAGATCAACGCGTCCGTACTGTATCTTTGCGGTAGATAGCCAAGTAATGATCCCAAGAACACAACCCGAGGTCGATCCAAGAATTGCACCAAAGGCATTGGCTTTACTCCACAAGAGCATGAAAGCTATAGGAATGACCGCAGAACCAATGAGCACTCCCATTGCCAGATACATCCATCCAAGTGAAACACCAGCTTTGTTCAAGACCACTGCAAGAATCCCCATGAAACAACCAAATCCAAGAACCGCGGATCTTGAGATTCTCAAGATTTGTTTACCCGTTGCTCTAGGGTTTATGTATGTTCGGTAGATGTCGTAGGTGAAAAGCGATGAGACTGCAATTAGCTCAGAAGAACCAGCCGATGTTACAGCCCTACGGATCAACAAAGACCATAAAACTCATGATTTGGAATAAGCATATATCTTTCTTTGTTAACTAGGTTTCTTGTGTAAGAAGAAACCAAGACAGCTTATAAACAATTTCTTGCTTAAAAACTTATTTATATATATATGATATGATATAGAGAGAGTGTACTTACATGAACAGCATAGTGAGAAGAAGCAAGGATCCTGATTTACCCATGAGAGCAATGGCTGTGGCAGGCGGAACCAAACCTCTGTCAGCCTCATCCTTAGATATAGGCAAGTCAAGGGCTAGTGCGCCGAGACCTAACGAGGTAGCTAGAGAGAAAGGTACAGCGAACCACACGAGTCCACCAAGTAAATACCCTTTGTGGGTTGATGAAGGGCGAGCAGCTATTGCACTCACCCAATAACCCTTAAAACATATGACATTTTAATTGTTAATATTGGTACATAATCCGTAAAATAACTATTTCAACTTTTTGTTTAAGGATTTCATCCCAATTCCCATCCAGAGTTTTCATTATATGATCTTGAATGGGTGTAGTTTATTATGACTGTTTGGATTTTGTTACTAAAAGCAAACATACATATAAGGTATAATAATCCTACCACTTTTTAAAAATTTGATTTTCTTAAAAACTCTCCTAAAAACCAGGAAATTTTTTTTGTTTTCTTTACTCTTTCTATATGCAAAAACCAAAAAACTCTTCAACTTGTGTTTGATATTAAAATCCTATGGCAAAAGCCAAAAACTAAAACTAAAACGAAAACCGAAAGATAATTAAACTAAAATACTTCATTGTAAAGAAATCATCTTACATTGTCTACGAAGACAGTGCCGAAGTTTCCCACAATGTTGATGAGACCGAAGACAGCGCCGCCAGAGCTCAACATGGTGAGATAGGAGCCTCGGAAGTTGCCATCAACCGGACCGCAAGCTTGATCGTGATGCGAGAGCGGCTCAGAGCATGACCTTGACTTAGCGACCATATCTCTTAGTCGGTCATAGACCACGGACGGACTCCCAAGCTCACTACTCGATGTGTAGACCAGAAATACAAAGACGACTAGAGCCACGTGAACTGAAAACAGACGAATCACACAAAGATAGTAAACAACAATTTATTGTAAGTGTTTCTCCGATTTTTTTTTCTTGTTTTGGATTTGGTTTTTCATATATCTAATAACTAAAACTATTTCAACTATATTAAGAACCATACTTAGGTTTACCCCTGGGGTGAATCCTTAAATTCACCCAACAGATTATAGCCAATCGTTTTGTCATGTCATTATTAATACTAGAGAATTAAAAAAAAAAAGAAACACAATTAAAAAAAAAAGGAAATCACAAAATAGATTTAGGGTTTAAGGTTTAGGGTTTAGGGTTTAGGGTTTAGGGTTTAGATTTTACAATTAAAACGAAATTAGATGTCGGTTTGGATTGCCAAATGAGTGGTTAGGGTTTAGATTTTATAATTAAAACTAAATTAGATATCGGTTAGGGTTTAGGGTTTAGGGTTTAGATTTTACAATTAAAACGAAATTAGATGTCGGTTTGGGTTGCCAAATGAGTGGTTAGGGTTTAGATTTTATAATTAAAACGAAATTAGATATCGGTTTGGGTTGACAAATGAGTGGTTAGGGTTTAAATTTTACAATTAAAACGAAATTATATATCTGTTCACCGCTGGGTTTAGGGTTTATGGTTTAGGATTTGGGTTTAGGGTTTAGGGTTTATATAACAAATATTTCACAAACCTAAACAGATATATAATTTCGTTTTAATTGTAAAATTTAAACCCTAACCACTCATTTGTCAACCCAAACCGATATCTAATTTCGTTTTAATTATAAAATCTAAACCTTAACCACTCATTTGGCAACCCAAACCGACATCTAATTTCGTTTTAATTGTAAACCCTAAACCCTAAACCCTAAACCCTAAACCCTAAATCTATTTTCTGATTTCCTTTTTTTTTTAATTGTGTTTTTTTTTAATTCTCTAGTATTAGTAATGACATGGCAAAACGATTGGCTATAATCTGTTGGGTGAATTTAAAGGTTCACCCCAGGGGTAAACCTAAGTATGGTTCCTATATTAAAACTTATTTTGGTTTTCCAATAAGTATTTTTTCGGGTTGACTCACATAAAAGTATGATCAATTTATTTATAGTGAACACCTCTACGATTCAAGAAAATAATTTTAGCTTCGAGCCATAATTGTTCGTGAAAATATCATACATAGGATATATATTTAAAATGTAATTTACCTATAACGGAGTGAACGTAGCTCGCAAGAAAAGTAGCTTTAAGTCCTCCGGCCAAAGTATAGACAACGACACCGAGAGGAATGAGAAAGCTTGCAGCATATAGATTCACTCCGGTGAGAGCATTCACCACAGCCGAGCCACCGAGCAAGAGCATCGCCGTCACAATGACGTTTGTCGCCAAACAAAACACCAAAAACACTATATGTGTTGCGGTTCCCCAACTAATTTTATCAATAACATACAAAACAAATTAAAATCTAACAATAACAACCTAAAATTAATGCTCGAGCAATTTGGTCTACTGTTTCGGAAATGTTATCGAAAAACCAAAATTTATTGGCCCTTAAACACAAACAAAACAAAACCTTTTTGTTTTGTTGAAGGGCTTAAACAAAACAAATCTTATTCTGTTTAGTTTGGTCCACGAAGTATTTTGTTTGATTGAGTCGGATTTTTTATTCAGCAAATTTTACAATTAACCCAAAAATAAATAAATTTAAGGTATACTTATAAAATTAGTATTATAAATACTAGGACTCCGGACCCCCGCGATGTCGCGGAGGAAAATATTTCAAAAATCGTTAAAAAAAATATCAAACAAAAATTAATAATAACGATGGTAGATGATTAAATGTTATAACGATTTATAAAATAAACTTAAAGTTGCAATTTTTCGTGAAATAAACTAAATGTTGCAATGGTTCAACTAAACGGTTGCAATCATTTTATGAAAAATTACGATAAAAAGATGCAACCGTAAAAAATATTTACTCGGATTGCAACTTTCTCAAAAAACATAACGTAAAATAATTTTTTTAGTTTAAAAAGAAATAAATGAAATGTTGCGATATATCAAAAGTTGTAGCGGTTCGTCAAGGTCGTCAAATAAACTATAAAGATTACAATGGTTCGTAAAACAAAACCAAAAATTGCAATGATTGGTCAAATAAACCAAATGTTTCAACGGTTCAATTAAACGATTACAATCTCATTTAAATGCATTTTGGTAATTAAAAATTAAAAATATTAATTTATGAAAATTATACCGAGAGACGCGACGTTGCAATTTGTAAAATAAACCAAAGGTTGTAATTGTTCGTGAAATACAAAACAAAATATATAAATCAAAGGTTGCAATCGTTCGTGAAATAAACTAAATATATAAATCAAAGGTTACAATTGTTTGTGATATAAACTAAAGGTTTCAATTGTTCGTGAAATAAACTAAATATTGCAATAATTCGAATAAAAGGTTGCAACTGTTTATGAAGAGGTACAATAAAAAGAAGCAACCGCAGAAGATATTCGGATTGCAATTATCTAAAAAACATACCCGTAAAATATAAATTTTAGTTTAAAAATTAAAAATATATCCATATGTAAACTATGAAATAAACTAATTTTATATGTAGTTTTTTTGTTTACGTAAAAAGAAATTCAATAAAACAACATGACCGTACAAAAATAACTGTAAGAAAAACAACCATAAATATTTAAACAAAAGGTTGCAATAAAAAGACACAACCGTTCAGATGTACAAATGGTATTTATTGGAAACGATATAACCGTAAAAAAATAACCGATTAAAACGAAAATTACGATAAAAAGACGCAACCAAAATAACCGTAAAAAAAAACCGATTTAAACGAAAAGTTGCGATAAAAAGACGCAACCGTTCAGATGTACAAATGGTATTTATTAGATTGCTATTATATATAGATTAAATTTATTTAATAATATTGACTAAGCAAATAAAAATAATTGTTGGTTTAATTTGAGTTAGTTCGGTTTTACATACCGAGCCTTCACGATTTCGCAGACCGTGTGAGCATTAGGAGCCTTTCTTTTAATCTCAATCGCCATCACACCAAACAACAGCACCTACTTTGTTCATCAATCATCATCGATTATTCATTATGCATAACAGAAATTATATTGTATAGTTTTTGTTTTGGAATGAACCTGTATGGTGGCTCCACTAGCGTACCAAAACGGTCCACTAACCCCATACTGCCATGCTACGTTAGAACTTTGCAGTATGGTCGCAGCCCATGTCCACTATTCACCAATTTTTACATTTAACGTCAAAGATCATCGAGTGTTTTATAACTTAATATCATCAACTATAAGTATTAGAATTATAGTTTTACCTGTCTTAACGTTTCTTCCGGCTGTATTGAACCATTCCGAGGTATGACGAGCTCCCACATATCGTTTTTCTAGCCATACCTTAATTCATTCATTTAGTCAGGAATATATCATGGATTCATGGTGGACTTAGGAAAATATTATATTAAAAAAACTGAACTGAATAATTGGTTAAAAATTCAGTTCCAATACAAAATCAAACCAATCTAATATATATATCTGTTTAGTTTGGTATAACTACATAACCAAAATTTCAAAAAACTTAATGGTTTGAACCGAAATCGATATGAAAACCTGAATTAAGACTCCTATAGTGGAGTACTATTGCACTCAACCAGATTGAGAAACTGTGTTTGATTAGTTTTGCTTTTTAATGGTAAGCTCTATTTCAGTTGAGTATTAATTTTAGTATTTCTTTCATTTTTTATTTTTAAGTCAAACTTTAGTATTTGTTTTGCCTCATAATTTTTGATTATTCAGAATTTTCAAAATACAAAAAAAAGAGAGAGTATATTTTAGATATAATTTGCCAACACAAAATTACACACGGTTGCCACAATTTTCATACTTAATAGGCCAAAAAAGATTCTATCATAATTTGATATATAGATAATTCGATTAATATATATTAATTTACTAAGACTTAAAATTTTAGAACAAAAAGCCAAAAAAAGATACGTACGCGTCTAGTCTAGGATTACTAAACAATGAAAATTAGTATCCTTTGTTTTATTTGTTAGCACAAATCATAGAATATATCTACTTGTGGTCACGAGCAAATCACAGAAGTTTTCTTGCTTTTCATAAGAAAATATTTTGAAATTCAGAAACGGAAACTAACCAAAAAAGATGTGAAGATGGCAAAGAAAGCACCAAAACCAAGAATCACGGCATAGCCAACGCCTTGATCGAGCACCGTCGTGCCTCCGAAGAAGCTGCTCTGCCTCTGGCATCCGCCTCCATCACCGTCGTAATATTTGGCCGAGAAATCGAAAGGAGGACATGTGGCCATTCTTCTTCTTCTTCTTCTTCTTTTAAGTTTTTATCGGATAAGTGAATTTTCTCATGGAATTTGTAGGGAGTGATAGTTGAAAGATTCTTCAAACTTGTATAAAACTAATAGAAAGAATCTTCAGTTAGAAAGAATCTTGATTTAGCAAAAAAGGAATCTTATAAACTTATAAAAAGAAATTGAATCTTTTTAATTGTTGAGTAACCAATTCCCAAGACGATGTGTATAAAGATACTATCCACACAAATGATCAGAAATTAAAATATTTAGAAATTGTTATTTGTTACCATTATTGGTGATGAAATGGGAGAAAAAGTCAATAATTCCGTACTTCAATAAGTCAATGAGTTTTGTTTATTTGCTATTTAATGGTTTCCACTTGAACAATGATGTCATCAGTGATCTAAGTACTCGTAAGAAACTTATAATAACTTTCATTTTTTACTAGGTCAGTACCTACTTGTTGATACTTTTCTCAACAATTATATTTGATGATATATGTTCAGAAATCTAAAACCGATGAAACAGAATTGACATTATATGAACATAGTTTGGCACTAACTACTAAAACATCTACTATCTTGGTTGCTCGAAATGCGTGGGATGTAAGATATAAATTAAGAATATGTATGTTGATTCTTGATTCTCATGAGCTCGTCTATGTCTGTGATAAAACGTTTGCTATTTGTCCCAAAACGTTTGACAAATTTATGACTTCATTGTAGCAAACGTTTGCCACATATTCTTTACAATGAATTCATAAATTTGTCCCAAAACGTTTGCTATTTATGGTTTGCCATAAGTTTTATATATTTATGAATTCACCCCTTATCTTTTGGTATTTACAAAATTTGCCACATACCTTTTGCTATTTACATATTTGCCCCATAGCTTTGACTATTTACGATTTTTCCCCATCTTTTGGTATTTACGATTTTACCCCACATTTTTTATGTTTACGAATTTGCCCCACATCTTTTGGTATTTACGAATTTGCCCTTTATCTTTCGGTATTAATCTGCCACACATCTCTGGGTATTTACGAATTAGCCTCGCATCTTTTGGTATTTAAGAATTTGCCTCACATCTTTTGGTATTTAAGAATCAGCCCCTCATCTTTTCGTATTTACGAATTTACCTCACATCTTTGTGTATTACGGTTTACCCCACATCATTGGGTATTTACGAATTTGCTACACATCTTTTGGTATTTACAATGTTGCCCCACATCTTTTGGTATTTACGATGCCCCACATATTTTGGTATCAACGCATTTGCTCCTTACCTTTTGGTATTTTGCTTTATTCATTTCCAGTTATCGAATTTGGCTACTGTTCTTGATTTCTTTTTATCTAAAATTGAGTTATGAAACCACCCAGTCTTATATATTAAATATAGATATCAGTTTTCCATAGTTGAACTTGCGCTATCAAATAAGAGGATAAAGATTTATTTTGAATTGTGTATCGTTTATCGAAAAAATTGTATGATTTGTTGTTGTCCGACATTAACTACAACTATCATTTTCATTACATGTTCTGAATTTATTTACCAGTCTCATCTCTGTAAATCAAAGGTTCCGAGATTCTTACATCACTAGAAGAAGCAATCTCATTCCCAGATACTTTTGTTTGTTGTTCTCTATAAGATGCCCAAGTAACCATATAAAGCCCGCAAATGATGAGGATTCCGCCCAAAACGCTGCGCAGAGAACAAAAATCAAGGTTTTTATATGATCCAATACAATAAGAAGAGAGAAAGGTTTGTATGTGTGTGGATGGATCAAAGATTCACGAGTACAAAAATTTAAAAACCTTCCGAGATAGATCGGGCTGCCGAGGAAAATCGTCGATAAAAAGGCGGATGTTGCAGGCTGAAGAGGATTGTATAGAGAAACCAAAGCAGCTCCAAGAATTTTATTGGACCAAGTCAAGAGTCCATAGTTTAGAGCTGATGCAAACACTCCCTGAGGATCAAAAACGGAAAAGAAAAATAACACAAACTAGTTAGATGAATCTGTATATACCGAGCTCCAATCCCTTTTATTTCCAAGTTCCAAATCTCCAATCTTTTGTATCAAACACACCGAAAAACATGCTACATCTCGGTTGTGAAAACTTACTGCGAATATAACAGCAAGAACCTCAGATTGTGTTAAGCTCCAATCTTTAGGCTCTCTAACAAACAAGATAGCTGTTGTAATCATTATTGATGCACCGAAGAAGTATGAATACGCAGCAACCGAAAGGTAGGCAGGATACTTCTTCAAAACCGGTGCTTGGACAGCGAGAAAAGCAGCCATACACATACAGTTTCCAATCAAGCATAAAACTCCAATGTGCCATAGATCAAACCCAAGACCAAGAAAACTAGAGACTAACCACCCATTAGACTCTGGTTGACTTCTATCAATTATTACACTTCTCACTGAGTCTACTGCATCTTTACCTCCAAACAAGGCTGGACCACGGAACAAAGCCATTGCCACGGCACCCGAAACACAAACAAGAGTACCTCCAACTTTCGTTTGGCCCTCGATTCTAAACAAGTTCACTTTTTCTGTACTGCATACAAAGAAGAAGACCATCAAATGACTGAAAATACAGATTTCACATTTTACATTAATGTTGAGGAAAATAATACTCACCCCATCATGACAGCCAAGAGAAATGTAAAGACTGGGATTGACGGTTGTATAGCTGCGGCATAAGTGGGATTCGTGTACGATAAACCCATAAGAAATAGTAACTGGTTCCCAAATATCCTATCAAGATTGACATTGAATAGTATTAGAATCTTTCATTGACAATGATTTTAAAGATAAATGAGAATTGAGCTGATTATACACTTACCCTGCTAAACCAAGAAAGAAGAGTGAAAAGAAGACGTTTCTATTCATAGGAGGTCTGATCCTTCTACAAGATTCAAAAGAGCAAATCTTGATTAAAAGACAACATTTTGGCAAATCTTGACCAAAAGACAACATTTTGGCAAATCTTGATCAAAAGACAACATTTTGGCAAATCTTGATCAAGAGAGCAAGAGAATAAAAACCCTAACTCCAATTCAAGAAAGATCAAGAAATATGTTGATATTGCCGCATATAAACTCATCAAATCAATCAGAAATTGCATTGACCAAATAATAAAGTGACACAAAATCAGAAACTTCAGAATTTGTTTAACCAAAACGAGAAAGATTTTGGGGAAGAAGGAAAAAAAGAACCTTTCGCGGAAAAAAGCGAGAGGTGCGAGAATGGAGAGAGCAAGAAGATCGCGAAAGACACAAAAGACGAGCTGATTGACACCAACGTTAAGAGCTACTTTCGTAATCACATGGTAACCTCCATTTATGACTTGAACCAATGTCATTGCAGAGTGAGCCATTCGTGTCTCTCTCTCCGTCGCATCGCCGCCGTTAATTATCGCCGGAGCTGCCATGTTTCTTCTCTACCTCCGAATCGAAGAAGAAGAAGAGAAGAAACACTTGTTGACTAAGAAGAAATTGAGATCCTTTGATTTGCTTTGTAATAATTTTATCTTCTCTGGTCTTTGAAGTCGTTGGTCTTCTTCAATTTGTTAACTATGATTTTTTAAAAGTTAATACAGAAAAAAAAATTAACCAGATTTTGAAAAAAAATAAAAAAAAAATTAGCCAGATTATTTTCTTAATCTTATACATTAAAGCCTAACAGATTAGCACATTTGTTAAATACTGTATGTTCATATATCCTACTTTTAAAAAAATGAAAATTCTGAAATATTTCCACCCAAAAAAAAAAGTGTAATATATATTTACAGTTTAATACTAAGGTTGGTAAAATATTTCTTCGTTATGTAGATTAGCGGATAGTTACATGATATTTTCTTAATTACTTTAATTTTTATAAAATGATCTAGTAATATGATATTTCCTTAAAATGACAAACAAATATTTAAAAATCGTTGTTGATCCAAATAACAAATGTTCTGTTTTAAGGAAAATTATAATACTAGTAGTTCAAACGTCGTTAATAATTCTGAAAAATGTCGTTATTTTAATCACGTTTAGAAAGCTGCTAATTTGGATTAGTGACGTTAACTCTAACGATAAGGAGGAGGGTTAGAGTTATGGGCTTATTATGATGTATAGCCCATTTCATCAAAATTATTCGGCCCGAGTTCGTCTCCAATCTCACGCCACCGATTCCAATCTCCAACCCTCTCGTTTTTCTCTCTCTCGCTCTAATCCCTTCCTTGGCCGCATAAACACAACCACCGTCGCCGGAGCTTTGATCTTCACCGACTGACCAACATGTCTGTTTCCGATGAGGAAGACGAGTGTTTCGCTCGATTTCTCGAATCAGAAGTCTCATCGGTAATTGTTTTCTTCGTTTTTTCAATTTTTCGATCTCATTTAGGGTTTAGTGTTTTTTTCTCCGACAATCTTTTGGAATTTATCGTTGAATCTGAAACTCTATCGAAATTTTTTATTTATCCTAAAAATAAATTCATTTTTTTGAGATTTTCGACAACTTTATTAGATTATATAAATTGGATTATTTTCGTGTAATTCATAATTGATTTGTGTGTATTCTTGATTTGTTTGATCGAATTTGGATTTGGTCGACCTTACATGCATTGTGAAATGATGATTTAGCTCTTGTTCAACATTTTCATGTGAAAGGTTAGAGTTTTATTGATGCTTTTGTTTTTGTAGGTAGAGGATAAAGAAGAAACGAAAGAACCTGAAGCAAAACGGCAACGTATTGAGAAAGCCGAAACAAAGGCTCTAGAGAAGGATGATGAGGATCAAAAGGAAGATGGTAACAAAGATAGAACTGGTGAAAAGAGAATAGAGAGTGGAGTTTTCAGTAATGTTCCTACTGAGCTGTTTCGTCATATCCTCAAGTTCTTATCTTCTGAGGTATATATATAGTTCAGACTCAAATTTTATTGTGTAGCCATGCTCTTTTGAGGATTGGTTTTAATCTAAATTGTTTGAATGTGACTACAGGATCTTGTATCATGCTCCTTGGTGTGTAAATTTCTTAATTTTGCTGCGGCTGATGAATCCTTATGGCGTCGCCTGTAAGACTCTTCTCGTACTCCTTATTGTAGTGGATAATCGCGTTTTCAAAATCAATACTTAGTACTCAAAAACGATGTGATATGGTTATTGATTGTCTTTTTTTTTTTATCTGCAGCTACTGTATCCGGTGGGGTCTAACTCCTCCAACAAGAAAGTTACGTGAAAGTGCTTGGAAGAAGCTTTATATTGATGTGAGTTTCTCACTTGGCTATTCGTATAAACTTGTTTGTTGTAATATTGCATTGTTGATGAGTATACAATGTTACGTTGAGTTGGTTTTATCGGTCAAATTTATATATTTTCAAGTGATTCCTTTCTCTTGTCGAATTTTAGCGTGATGAGCAGGACATGATTGAACTTGTTAGAACCTGTCCGTCGGATTTTAAAGAGTATTACATGCAAATGCAAGCAGCAAAGAGAAGCCAAGCACCTCTTCCGTCCCAGGTAACTATTTCTGATTATCTGTTTATGTTTTAGCGCGAATCATCACTTGACGAATTTACTCATGTTCTTGCTTGCAACGTTTAGATGGTGGATGACCGGATAATTCTAGACAAAACTGTACTTGAACAAGTATCTCTGTGGAAGAAAAGCAAAGGACTTACTGATAAGGCTGTCACTGGCCATATTTGTTTGGGAACCAAATGTTCATACCATCAGATTGACGACGTGTTCATATGCAAAGAGACGGGAAATGTTCATGGTATGAATTGAAATGCTGTAAAATTGAAAATTTGTTACTTGTGTTCTGTTGAAACTTACATAGTTTTTATTGGTTTTTATAACAGTATGCGATGATAACTGCAAGGAAGTAATACTGAGTCCAGAGGAAGACCTCATGGTGTGTACTATCTCAGGACTTTGTTCTGATACTTTGCTTGTACAAACCGATCCAGACGCAGATGGGTGTTATGAGGAAGAAGCTGAACTAGATGCTGAAGTATTCACGGATAAAAGTCGATTGGGTACACATCTATTTTTCTCTCTCTCACACCTCCTTTTCCAGATATTCTTTTTATTTTCCAACATAAGTGAACGATTTGCGTCTTCTTTTCATCGCAGCAAGAGCTTTTGAACTTGGCTACAACTGTGATGATGAGCAGGAATTGGAACGTACCCTGAGGTTCTGCTGAGCAAAAGTCTCAGCCTTTTGTCCATTCTCATAAGGCCTACTTTCTGTAAGGTCTTATCTCTCTCTCTCTCTCACCTGATTCTGCTTGTGTTCTATGGATGGAGTTCAATGAATCAAATGTAGCTCTTGTTTTTAATAGTCAGCTTTGTAACTTATACATATTATCAATGTCTGTGATTTACTCTATTGTCCTTAAAAAGTGTTACACCTAGTAATTAAGTTCCAACTTTATCAGTAAACCCTATTGGTAACTAGTAGTAATTTGCTCCAGAGATTGGTTTGCTCATTAATTCCTATAGCCATTATTTGTTCATTTAAATCATCTTACAAATTTGTTCTGCTTAGAACTGATTTATGATCTCAAATACTCCCTCTGTTTCACAAAGAGTGTTGTGTGTCCAATGCAAAATATTGAATAAAAATCCATTTTTAACCCCATTCTTTTATTGAGTAATAAGAGAGATAACTTTGTTTAGTGTATTAATAATAGGTATAGTAAAAAATTTAATAGTTTTCTTAATTTGTGTGAAAAAATGTAGAATAACACTCTTTGTGAAACAGATGGAATAGATGATTAGTTCAAAATAATGTTTATACCAATTTTATATTCTAAAAACTATACATCAATTATCACCACTGGTGTTTGAATGAAAGGTGAATTGATAGTCTTAATGAATTTTTGATTTTGTAGATAAGTATTAAGTATGAATGGATTTAGAAATTTTTAGTAATTAATTAGTTGGATTAACATAACCATAAGTAGAAAAATATTTGTTTTTAGGATATTTTTCTTGAATAAATCATTTATACACATTGCCTAAAAATCAAATAAGTACTAATAAAATTAAAAATGTTAATAAGGATTTTCTGTAGATTCGATTCTTTTGGCCAAAGTGCAAATTAAAAGACATTATATCCCCTACGTAAATAGAATCACGCGTCCATTGCGCGTTCTCGCAACGCTAAATATTTTCGTTGGAAAATATTCTCATATTGCTCTCCTTTGCCCCCATAGTTTAATATATTTCAGAAACACCCCCATAAGAAATTAAAAACCGTTCCGAATTGAAAAATATACAATAAAATGTATTTCAAGAAAAGATTCAATCTATAAGCAAACAAAGTAAAACATTGGTACTGTTACATGTGTGTCGTTCTTCGTGTTAAAAATTTGGACACAAAGTTAAATTATAAAAACTTAAGTGCCAGATTGTGATTAATACTAAAATACAAGGACTAAAATAAAAATATACCTTTTTTGGAAATCGTGCCGCGTAAGGAAACATGTATAAATATCTCCAAGGTCTTATTTTTCTTTCTTCCAATTTCGTTTCGACATATTCCGCGATTCGTCTCTGGTAAAAAAAGCTCTCATCTTTTTTTCTCTTAGATCTCTACGTTTATTGATTGATCTTACCCGCAACTATTGTTCTCTCTTGATTCGATCGTATTGATTGAAACATCGTATTTATCTGCTGCTGAAAACCTAGAAATTTTTAATTTTTTGTTTGTTTTGGTTCATGCGTATGGGAATATAGAACGAGATTAACAAAAAATATTATGAATTGAGGTTTTTTATTTAGCGAATTGGGTTTTATTGTTCAACTGAGTAATAAAGTTTAGAACTTTCCTATGCTTAGGTTCTTAAATTCGAGATCTTTGATTAGCCTTTGTCCTGTTATTGATCCACTAAATCTTTAAGTTAATGCTCGGTTTATGCAATTTTATTGGAATTAATAACATTGATCTGTGACCTCCTACTAATCAGTGATTAATTACATTGCTTGGTTAGGTCATTACTTAAATTTGGTGTGTCTGTATGATCCCCTGAGCTTGAATCTCATGCTTGGTTTTTCCTAAATTGATGTTTTTTGCGATGTCTTTTTGTAGGTTTTGTTGCTGATTGAGAAAACATGGGAGGTGACAATGACAATGACAAAGACAAAGGGTTTCATGGGTATCCTCCCGCTGGATACCCTCCGGGTCCTGGGGCTTATCCGCCCGTTGGATATCCACAACAAGGTTACCCTCCACCACCTGGTGCTTACCCGCCTGCTGGTTATCCTCCGGGTGCGTACCCACCTGCACCTGGTGGTTATCCTCCAGCTCCTGGTTATGGAGGTTATCCTCCAGCTCCTGGTTATGGAGGTTATCCTCCTGCACCTGGTCATGGTGGTTACCCTCCTGCTGGCTATCCTGCTCATCACTCAGGTACTGCTCATCCCATGTAGTTGCAATGATCACTGTACAAACAAGTTGAAATAGAAGAAGTTGTCTATATGCTGTTGTGATAAAACCAGGGATTTTTTAGCATTCACTTTAGAAAGAAATTCAACAGAGTAATTGCTTATATGTTCATTGCTAAAATCTGCCATTTAGTATCATATTTAGTGTTAAATGTCACTGTAGAAAGAAGTTGAAACAAAGTATTTGCTGAGATTATATTGTTTTTCTTAAAAAAAAGTCCGAAAATCCATAGTCATTGATTGTTATCAGTGCAAGTGTTTGTCTTCCATTTGCTAAACACTGTTGAATTCTCTGTCAAGAATTTATTGCAAATTGGTTATACTAGTTGTCCAAAGATTAAACCTGTAAAGTGTTCTCATATATCACCATTCAATACAAGTTGTGCTAATCTAATCCTTTTTACGATTTGAGCATCATAAGGACAACTTTGCAGATTCTACTGTGCACGATATTGTTTTTTTACTTTGGTTTGTTTCTTCATGCCGTTTACCTATATACTTGTTACAGGACACGCAGGAGGAATTGGGGGTATGATTGCAGGTGCTGCAGCTGCCTATGGAGCTCACCACATAGCTCATAGCTCTCACGCCCCTTACGGACATGCTGCATACGGCCACGGCTATGGCCATGGACATGGCTATGGCTATGGTCATGGTAAGTTCAAGCATGGGAAGCACGGGAAGTTCAAGCATGGGAAGCATGGAATGTTTGGAGGAGGCAAGTTCAAGAAGTGGAAGTGATCTAGTTAATACCTTTTGTGAATCTCTCTGGACTGACCAATGTTTCAAATAAGCCCTAAAACATTATATAAGTTGGCTTTCGTCGGTTAGATTGCTGGTTCGAGTTGGAATAATTGAAACTTAATTAGTATTATGATATCTTATTGTGTACTTTGAAGCTATCTATGGCTTTATAATGACAGATTCTGCTGGTTTCGGTGTGTGGTTTTTGAGATTTTTTTGTATATACTGATTTTTTGACATTGCTTAAGCTTATAGAAGTCATGATTATGATCAATTTGTGATTTATTTAGTTTCTCATTTCTCAGTATCATTAAAAGTGTGTTGGAGACCAACAATGGAATTGGAATGTATTCAATCAAAACATTTTAAATGATTTGATATTTGATAAATTGTTGTAGTTTGGTAACTTAATATTTTATGAGTTACAAACATCATAATCAATAACACTAGATTTTAGATAACTTAAATGATGAATGAAAGACATAAGTTTGTTATCTTAAAGACAAATCATTTTAAAAAATGTTTATTGAATACACCTTTGAAAGAATCAATGTCTAGAGGGGTTTATTCTCTATACTATATGCACAATTAGGGCTAAATCACGATGAGTATATATCAACTTAAGTTGGTCCATCGCAAATTCTCTAATTAAGGTTATATAGCCAGAAAAAAAAAAAAAAACAGAGAGATATGATTTTAGGTGAGCATTTGTGGCAATGAGTTATGCCACATATGAAAGCTCTGTCTTTGTAGTTAAAAACAGATAGATGATTGAATAGTAAAAACACTTAAGCTTAATAGAGCTTTTGCTATGCAAAAATCAAAATCATCATAAAATATCACTAAAACTGATTTTAGCAGATGAATGGTGTTTAGGGTGTTCTACTTTTATTTTGACACGGTTTTTGTGTTAAGCAAAAGCCTAATTATATCTGAAAACGTGAAAACATAATGGTGAAGAATCACATAATCACCTTTAAACGTTTTGAAAAACGTACTGTACAAAATAGTATAACAGTCATTAATTAAGTTTTATACTGCGTAATCTTCACCAGTATAGTACATCACAAAAAATACTTATATCATAAAGTTTTTTCATCTTCTAGTGGAGAGAGGGAAAAAAAAACATTTTTTTCTTCCAATTCAATTTCTTATATATTTCTAATGTTTAGGATGTGGATTATTCAATATTTCGACACGTGGACTTGTTTAGTCAAAAAATATTTCAAAAGTAATGACTTATGTCTGAATAGATTATTGGATTTTTCATTTTTCCAAACGTTGGCATGTCAAAAGTATTAACAGTCGAAACAAAAATCACCCAAAAAAGTGGCTTTCGAGAAAGCTAAGCGGTAGTACAGCAGGAATATTGTTGTGTGATTAAAATCATTGGACTTGGAGTGTTTGTTTTAATTAATTAATTAGTGATTACATACAAAAATTTAATCAATCAATGAGTTGGCTTCCTTGTTTTGATTCGTCCTTTCGTTGTACGTATGACGTACTTTTATGCATTATCATATTAACCCTAGAAAACCAGATGTCTTACACTTTTGTTTTGTGTTTAATTAAATTTTCTGTATAAAGTCAAAATATGAATCACATCATCAAGATATCAAAATGTGGATTTCTATATAAACTAATCCGTTGACAAAACACTAAACTTTATTTTTCAATTATATGTGTAATTTTTCGGAAATTAGTCGCTTTTGACCTACAATAATTCAAGAATTATGGTGACACAACGTTATTTTTTATTTCGTTTTCCATCATAATAAAGTATACATTTAAAATATTAGTCATCATTATACTCCTTAAGAATTCACTATTTTTGTTTCAGATTATTGGTATTTTAGTATATTTTTGAATAATTTTCTGCTTGAATTATATCAAGTGAGATTATAAAACTATGTCACAAAACAAGTTACATGTAATGTCTCATCGTCAATGTATGTAAAACTCACGTTCATTTTTGATATGGAGGCTACGCTGGAAAAGAAAAAAAACTAACTATAGAGTTTATTTTTGTATTTTAGCTTCAATTAGACAGTATTGATAGTATTTCTTGATAGATCACACACAATTGTGCTAACTCCAATAAGGTTAGTTATATAATTTTTTACATGATTATTACGTAAAAAAGTTAAGAATACTATAATCAACAAAGAAATCAACTCAATTCTTTTAATATAGCTACATGCACCACATATTTCTGAATTGGAAACAATAGAGCATTTCCATCAAAAATTTCTTAGATGATCTATAATAATGAAAAGTTCAAAAACTAAATTAATAAAAATGAATAAAATGTTTTGAAAAGACGTATGAAAAGTAGCATTTGATGTTTAATTAAACAGTAAACGACTATTAAGAAAACGTTTTACATCAACTATTCTAATTTATGTAAATATATATAGTTTATGTCATATATATATAATGTAACTAATATTCCGTCTATCCAATAGAATGAAATTAGATTATAAACAAAAAATATTAGCGGTGGACATGCTGAAGAGTGAAGAATACCACTTATTTTAAGAAGATGAGATAGTGGTTGAAAATTCATTTAAACTAAAATAGCTTTGATCTATCAATCAATCAATAATTAAAAAACCTAATCATGTTTTAATATTAATCATCCAATCACATGTTTTGGCTAAGCTGGATATCTACTTATACCCGATTTGCCGCGTCAGCACTCACATTTCAAATATCTTTTTTCTTTTATGTTCCACAAGATTTTGAAATTGAAGTATATATAGTGGGAAATATTAAGGTGTTTTTACAAATTTTCTCAATTACAAACCATTATCAAGAATGTTTTGTTTTTAGTAGTCTTGAAAAAAAAGAATATCATCGATATATTGTAGATATTTTTATACGTGAATAGAAATATTCTCTTAAAATGGCAAAATTAATAATAGGCTATTTACATTTTCAGCCTTTATCTTATCTAAAGTATGCGTCCCAATGCAATTTGTTTATTAAAATAAAACTCGACAACAACCAGACATTGACTAAAAATAGCATATGAGCATATGAATATTAATATGCGATATATTTAAATTTTCCTGAAATATACAAAAAATAATAATTTTCGTGTGACAACTGGCATCTTACGAGCCACGATTACTGAGGAAAGTACCTGGTTTCAATCAAAACCGCTTTGACAAGCCCACTGTTCTGTTTTTTCTTTTATTATTTTTATTTTCCCATATTCTTACGTTTACTTCACTTTAATGAACAATTAAACTAACACTGATATATATTTGTTTTGATGAAAAAATTAATATTATTTTTGGTTGTTTCTGTTGTTTGTTTTTGTCGTCTTGGTTATTTCTGTTTAGTACTATTTTTGTTGATTGTTGTGTATTAATGTTATTTGTCAAGATTTATTAGTAGATATATTTTCAGAGATTGTCAAGAAATTTGTTTATTAGTTAGGTCGAACGTCATTATCTCTCTTTATTTATTGACTTTTTACTGTTTTATTATGAAAATATCTGTAAATGATTTTTTAACTAACTATTTTTGTGGCTATCACATGAAAAGTATTTAGCAGGAATTTATGTTTTTGACATCTAATTTTACACTAAAATGTTTATTGATACACCTGTTTTTGTTAGAATCGTATTTGAATTTATAAAGCTTAATTATCTTTCTTAAAATCACGAAAATTTGCTGATCTTAGTTTTCTAAATACCTTTGTTTATTTCAACATTAATTTTGATTTTTTTTCCTCTTAAGTTAGTTTTTTTAATATAGTTATAAAAACAAAATTGTTTACTACGTGAGTAGAGCAGTTCATTATCACTTTATCAAGATTCGAAGATACTTCTGTTTGTCTTTAATTCGTTTTATTAGATAAGACTCTATAAACTAAGCATTTTACGGATAATTTTTCAATTTTTTTTGCCGTGAAATCAAAGCAAAAAAAAAAAAAATCCAAGAGTTGACTTTGATAACAAGCCCAAGACTGTGGGCCTGTGGGGTTATTCAATGTGTGTTCAGGAAATTTCTGTAATAAAATATGCATAGAGAAATTGCGTGGATTGTAAACGATGGAAAAAAATGTATATGCAGAGAAATAGATATGATTGGGTTCATCGGCAAAAAAAAAAAAGATATCTTTGACAAAAAAAAAAAAAAAAAAAAGATATGATTGGGTTCAATTATTTATGTTTCTTTTCTTTTCTTTTTCTGTTCGAATCAATAATCAACTATGAACCACGTCCGTACTTCCTCAGACATTACCTTCTTGTACGTGACCCCTATTTAATAGTAGATCCCCTTTTTTCTTGGTTTCTCAATTTCTAGCTGACTGCCTGATAATTTGATTCTCAAAGTATAGCCATGAAAAAATATTGTAATTTAAATATTCTTTTAGATATTATTAACAAGTTCTATGGTATATCACAATTTTAGATATCTCCGTCCTAATCTAGAGAAACAAAAATGTCTAGTATACATGTATCAATAGGATTGAGTTCTTGTGTTTTAGCTAAAAGATCAACCTCTCGATTACTTTATCAAAAAAAACCTCTCGTTCTTTTGCGATGCCGTTGATATTTGAATCTACACAAAATGTTATTCTAGTGTATCCACACCATTTACACTAATAAAAAAAAACTCTAGCCATAATACAGCTACAAATAAAACTCTGGTGGACTTAAAACTAGTGAAAAGTGGTCGTTCTATTTTAAGTAGTTTGCTTTTAAAGATAGGCTCCAAATAAAATGGACCATAATAATCAGACCACCTAGACTACTTTATTTTGAACACTTCCTATATATATAAATTAACTACACAAAACACTTTTCAACCTGCATCTCATATACAATAGTCTTAGGCACATGCTCATCTCCAATCTCCAAATTTGTTTTTCTTTTATTATCCCAAAGATTACGTTCATAATTATTTTTTCATAAATCATATCGGTTGATTTGGTTAGTTTTAATAGAAATGCACCGAATAGATTTTTTTCCGAAGGAAAATCATATTCTTAATTTATTTTTAAGATGATACAAGACTCGGTGGTGAGACTAGTATCGGGATAGATATGGTGGCTTCACAAGCTGGCGGTCGCTTCTCTCTTGTGAAGGATTGATGTTCGATGATGTAGATC